AGTACAGCTTCCTGCCCCTGTACACACTGAGGGGTGCAGCAGTGAGGCAGCACTGCACCACAGAAACTCAAAGCTGGCTGCCCGCGTTGTTTGCTGTGCTTTTATACACAAGCACACCCACACACTGACTAATCAACCAGGATGGTCACAAAATTCTGTGGGAAAATGTCTGTTTATAAGTCTCTTCTCTGTACTCAAGTCATAAAAAATGAGTGTAGGTCAGGAAATCTTCATTAAATATGAAACGTAACGGTAATTGTTTCATTTTGTAGTATTGATGTGTGTAATTTTGCATTATTACCAAATTAAGCAAAAATTTAAAGCACTGATGACAACTTCAAGCAATTTTTTTGAAACATGCTTTCATGAGAATTTGATTTCAGTTATGTAAGCTTTTATGTTGATGAGTCCGTCTGATAATCGCTCACCCGGTGTCAAGACACTTCTGCGATTCAACCAGAGCTGAACTGAAATACATTTTAAAAGAAATTGGCTAGTGATCTCTTTAAATATACACCAAATATGACAATGCCAAACATGATTGGGGGTTGGTATGAGTGATGATCACATGACCCGTGCTCATCCTTAAATACATTTTTATAGTATTATCTTTTATTTCCAGTGTGATGCATTGCTCCCTGTCAGACACCCTGGGACAAATCTGCATTGTGAAATTTAGAATTAAACTCATGAATAAGACCCATATCCTCCATTATTATGTAGCCTTTCCCCGGCATTAATATAGCACTTTCTCCCTTTCTGTAATTTGATATACACGGTGAAATGAATAGGGACTGTGAAAGATTGTATGTGTTGTGTGGTCCTCTGTTAGCGGTGGAGATTCCCTTTCTCCGTGTGTTGTTCATCATCGCCGTTTCTCCATTGCAGATCCTTCTGCGTGAGGGGTGTAAGAAGATCCTGGTGGCTGACTCACTCTCATTGCTCAAAAAGATGCATCGGACCCAGAAGAGAGGAGTCAGAGTCGATGGTAACGTTGCCACGCTACATTTAGCCACAAAAGACCTGTTCCAGCAATTGCTTTTATTTTTAATACATATTATGTGGTATTGTTTCATGATTCATTATTCCTGACATTTCCACTTGAAGACATAATGGCATCATAAGAAATTAAGTCTGCAAACATGGTGCAGTAGAACAATCATTTAACATCAAATCTGAATAACTTCCCGTTCTGTTAACAACACGCTTTTATAGATATTCTAAAGGTAAGAACACAGCAGCTTTTAACCAGAATAGGTTTTAACCAGGTGTAGGCTGGTGCTTTTAATTTTTATAAATCATGAATCTCACTGAAATGGAAATTCAGGCTCTGCCACTATGAATCACATTTAATTGTTTCTTTGTCTGACTGTTTGTTTGTTTGTTTGTTTGTTCATTTGAATGAATTGCGTTTCTGAAGCCTGTTTGGTTGGTTTGTAGGTTTGGTCACGTGTACATCTGAGGGTCTGAAATTTACAGCATTTGTTTGCTGGGCATAGTCAATCACTAGCCAGTCTCAGCCAATAGGAACCGGTTTAAAAAAAAAAAAAACACACACTGGGAAGTGCTATGGAGCATCTCCTTTTATACACACATGTGGGACTGAAGGCCTCATTTCTCTCAAGGCTGCTAAACAGACTCCTGTTGCTGCCAAGGTGTTAGCATTAGCGAATCGCCTCCCTGGGGCTCCTGACTTGCATTAGGATGCAGCTCTCAGCTGAACCCACAGCTTCAGGACAGAGCCGTGATCCTGGGGGCCAGCGGCTCGTACAGCTGACGCCCTCTGTACACAGCAGCCTTTTCCTGAACTCGCTGAGCTCCTCTTTATCCTGTTGTCTTGCTGTTTCCTTGTAGAGGAGAATATCTGCGAGTCCTGCCACACCCCGATATTACCTTCTGGTAAGTCTCCCCTTCCTGTGGATGTACAGCTTCTCTGGTAAATGCCATAGACCAAGACACCAAAGCATATACCGGTGTTAAAACTGAAACGAGTTCATTTGTGAATTTCTGCTAGAGTGACACAAACATGAGGTATATATCCCCGTCCCTAAATTGGCGCTGGTGTGTGTTCCTGCCCTGCGATGGACTCGCTAGTCCTGTATGGAGCATCTGATAAGCATGGCAGAACGTATGGGTGGTTGTACTAAAGATGGAAGTGAGCTAATCACAGAGCAGCAGTACCAGCAGTGATGGACACACGGGGCTTTGCAAATTTTATGCCGTCAGTCACTGGCTGCTCCAGATCAATAGAACCCTTTACTTTACAAAGTGCAGATCCTTGATGGGTTTCAATGAGCTCATCTCAATATGCCTGTAGGAATGGGCTGTATGACCATACACAAGGCATCCTGCTCTCACTACTTGTTTGACTCTAAAGCCTGAGCTTTTTACATTTACATTTACATTTACAGCATTTGGCAGACGCCCTTAGCCAGAGCGACTTACATAAGTGCTTTAAGACTCTACAATGAATTTTTCCCAATACTAGCTCTCCAAAAGGCTCATGAATTCAATGTCTCGGCTTTTAGTTTTGCCTAATTTAATTTGTGATGTGCAGAAACAAGGTTTCTCCGTGGGTTGCACTGTTGCCTGACACCTCCAGGGTTGCCAGTTATGGTGGATCAGTGGGTAGCACTGTTTCTTCACACCTTAGGGGTTCACAGTCAGAGCCATTGGGTGGAGTTGATGAAATATCCTAATCACAGAAACCATCCAAATTAACACTAACTAGGATGGAAAAAACTAGTGCATTTTGAAACTGTGAATAGTTTAGCTGTGGAAAATATAAGAAAATAATACCTTGTTTCCCTCATTTTAAATATGATTGGGATACCACTTTGTAGCATTGCCACATATCTCAAAGCGGTAAAACTGTTTGTTTACTCCAGGATCTATTGTGGCTAATGTCTGCTTAATAGTAAAATGAAAAACACTCTGACTGTACAAAATCTCTCAGTTTGATTTCCACAGTATGAATTCCAGGCCACATCATCTCCTTGCCAGTAACCATGTCCCTCTTGCAGATACAGCCAAGAACTTCAGTGTCGTGGTCTTTCACTGCAGACATATGTTCCACAAGGAATGTCTACCTTCACCTGGAATGGTCAGTCTCTCTCTCTCCTTCCCTTCCTTCCTCCCTCCCCCCTTCCTCTCTCACTTTATCTCTCTTAGAAGCTGTCTCAGCTTTATTAAATAAGCTACAGTTTATTCATTATTATTGATGAACATCACATATAAAACTAAATTCATGCAGTGCTTGGCGCCATAACTCAGCGGTGTAACCAGCCGATGTGGCGAAAGCAATTGTTCCTTTAACAGTAATATTTGTGATTTACTATGATTTGGTTCTAATAAATTAGGATTCTTTTGCTGTTTTCTCGGAATTGCAGCGGTATCCCAAACACCATAGTTCCTGAGGATACGCAGTAACTGTCCGGTGCATTATAACATAATTATAAATTACATTGTGAATGCATTTGTCTTATATATATACCTTTTAGGTAGATGTTTTTGTTGTCAGTATATTAAGTGTGACCTTTTGTAAAATTATGGCTATGGATATTAGTAGCCGAGACCAGTTGCAGTGAAGTTGAAACTATCATCTTCCTGTAATATCCACTCAGGTCCAGTTCTGCAACATCTGCAGTGCAAAGCGACGAGGACCTGGAAGTGGCATCCTGGAGATGAAGAAGTGATGGATGCTGCCCGCTTCATGCCCATGATCTTGCCAACCTCTCTGTTTGTATGTGTCTCTTTGTGTTGCACTGTAAAATTTGCGACACAGGAAACGCCCGATTACTTTTAATTTGTTGTTTAAACAGGAAGTTGTAGATATAACAAGGTAAGCACACAAGTGCAAAAGATACCTTCTATCATTCAGTATTGACGCATCTTACGTTATTTCTGCTCTTCTACAGTTGTTAATATTTCTGTGTTGATTTCTCTTTAATGGTTTTTGCTTATGCTTTTGCTGAGTGTTAATTACTAAAACTGTACTGCTGCCAATAAAAGTGATCTTGCGGAATGTTCTGCTAGCGACTTTGTGACCAGCCTGTCTGCCAGGCTCACCTCCCAATAGGATAAATCCAGAATAGGGTGCTGTCCCATTTCGGATGCTATTTTTGACACTGTGATGGTGCCTATCCATTCAGACTTTCCTTTTTTGAGAAGATTCTCAATTTGATCATTATGTGTAGATATGATAGACTAAACATTTAAATGACTAATGGAACAATAACCAGGAAAAGCCACCTGCCCCGTAAATGTACTTCATTTCAACTGCAAATTTCTTGTAGAAGTTCAGTGTTTAGTAATTTTAAGTCAGTCCTCCTGTGTACGAAGCAGAGATGTTATTCTGTTCTTGTTATTTAGATACCAGATCTTTAGATTCCCTTTAATACCCTAACACCTGCAGAATTCGAGGTCCCATTCAGTGCCCTCACATCTCCAAAATTCGAGGTCCCATTCAGTGACCTTACATCTCCAGAATTTGAGGTTCCATTCCATGTTCTCACTGTGTTTATGCAGTTTTGCTCCTTCCACCCAGAAATATGTGGTTAGAGTAGCTGCATGGGTCCTCCATGGTGTGTGGCTGAATGCCCGCGCAAAGGAGCAACATCTCATCCAAGCGATCTCCTGCCCTTTGGCTCCTGGGATGAACTCCAAACTTACCATGACCTAGATAAGTGTTCATGGAAGATTGATGGATAATAAGTTTTTGGAAGAAATTACTTTTGTTTATGTATGTTTATGTATGTGGATTCAGTTTAATGAAGGTTTTTTGCACATGTGTGCTTGTGTGTGTGAGTTTGTCGTTCTTTTGCTTGGCTGTGAGGTGCCACATTCTCTACACATCTTTTGTCTTCCACAAGTGGTTAGTCAAAACATGAAGTTAGGTTTCAGTGCAACTGCAGATGTTTCTTCTGCATGATATCTCTGTTGAACTATCCTTCTGAACTAGAGAGAACTGTAAGTTACATTTAAGTATCAGTATATAACTGGAAAACACCTGCAGCACAATATAAACGGTCTAGACTAAGTCGCGATCCTCTAATTGCTTCCATCGTTTTTAGTACCCTGTACGAAATGTGCGGTAAAAAGGCGTTCAAAACCCAACGTTACTTTAAGCGGACGGCCACACCTCCATCCCTCCTCTACCCACCGCACATCGCATACCGTCCGGATCCCCCGGTCCCGCAAGCCGGGCTTATTATACCCCAGTACCGGCAGCCATGGCGGACATCAAAACGGGGATTTTCGCCAAAAATGTACAGAAGAGGCTCAACAGAGCGCAGGAAAAGGTAAGCAGGACGCACGGTGATGAAGGATACGGGAAATGACTGACTGGTCATGCCAGAGATGGTGCTGCGTATCTGACGGAGTGATGGATGGTTATTATGCCGCGATGCTGATTTGTACCGACAAGCGGGAAGTTATTTCCACGCCTTTATTAGCAGATATAATATTATAATATTGTAAAAAATCATAACGGAACACCATCAAAGTATTTTAAAAATTATTCTGCAACTGCGTTTGGGTATTATTACTGCAGTTGTTGGCAAGCAAAAAGATGCGATTAAATTTATTAGTCTACACAGCATAACCATATCAGTATACTAGTTTACAGCAGCATCTCCCTAATTTACCGGTGATTACATGGGTTACACTGATGTTTTAGGCCATTTAACATGGGGAAAAAGCGGTTTGTGAACCTGAAAAGTACATCGAGTCGGAGGTAATTAAAACGCACGCATTCTGCTTGGTTCAGTTTTTATTGTACAAAAAAAGATGCGCCACTCCATTAGAAATTTTCAATAATTTATAGCATTGTGATGGAGAATTTCCTCGACGACATGAATAATGGAATTAAAATGCACTTATTCGTCGAATACGGGTCGTGTATTGCAGATCCAGCCACGGCTATCAGGCAGATGTGCCCAGATGTGCATCCTTAGACTGCATGTATACAGATGCAGCGGCGATATGATTTTCTCCTTCTTGTAATATTTGGATTGTGGCAGCCTCGTTATAGACTAATATAAACTTTAAAAGCACGGTAATGGGGAAACGTCACGGCTTTGCTGTTAAATATTCTGTGAAATACTGCCTGCTGGTTTCTTTCATTTAAAGAGATGCATTTACAGTATAAGAGTGGCAATAAACTTGTGAAATATTCCCTGCTGTTTGCAATACATAATGGAAAAAGTTCAATTATACAATGTGTGTACATCAATAACATAAAATCCTTACGAAAATGTAATTATATATAATTCTGCATACCGTCGCTCACCTGAATATATATTAGCTTGCTCAAAAAAGATGCACATTTACCTGTTGTTTTTGACCACTTGTTGGGAATATATGGTTCTTTACTCTTAATGGTGTGCAGTTGTGAAATTGCTTTGTGTACACAGATTGGGTGCCATTGCAGATTCCTGGTATAGTAACCTACTGGAATTTAGACACTCGGCATTAAATCGTCCATGTAAAAGTCTGTTACTCAGTAATCATCCCAGGACGTCCAGAAAGCCTTCATCATCCACTCCTGCTCTGCCTCTCCTCTCACCTGGGGAGATACTGACATGCTTCCGTTAGCAGAATCCTTCACTGAATGCTGCGACCAGGGCTGCACTATTTAAAGCCGGCTAGCTGCTCAGCAGCTGAATGCCAACTTGACAAATGCATCGTCCAGCTGTTGATAAACCGCTTAGCTTACAGACCTACCCAGGAGCCACAAGTGTGGTAATAACACACATAGAGAGCGTACTCTCAGGTATGACACTAAAAGCATTGTATTACGTATAGGCTGTATGTAGAAATAAACGATTGTAACTACTAATAATGGTAATGGTAGTGATCAATCTGCCAGCCATCAGTACCTGGTAACTGTACAGCCTGGTATCTGTCTCAGGACCAGCCAACACAACACAAATCTGCCTGCTCTTTGTCTCACCACCTAAAGCAATAACTTTTTTCCGCATCCTAGATGTTATTCTAATAGGAGAGACCGGGGATGGTTATAACGTTTTTTTTTTTTTTACATTTTTGCCTGTACCTCGGAGCTCCTTTATGGAATCACTTTCAAAATTTGATACAAACTATCTACATGTGTCTTCTATTAAATAAGGTTTTATCTCTATCACAAACAGATAATGAATGATTTAGCCTCAAACCCATGGGGTGAAATGTTACAAGTTACCCCTATAGTCAGTGATAGTTGTAACACAGCCACAGGTTAAATGTAACATTATAAATGATGTAAAAAAATATCAAGTTATTCAAAGTTTTTTTATTATTATTATTATTATTAGTATTATTATTTGGTTCAACAAAATGTGTGGGTATGTATGCATATGCGTACAATATATGGTCATCAAAACTAAAATCAAAGATCATAATAAAGCCAAACATACTATGCACCAGTTTTCCATCCATCCATTTTCTGAAACCACCTGTCCTATTCAGGGACAACGGGGGTCAGAGACTACTGGCACAATGCAGGGAACAACCCAGGATGGGGTGCCAACCCACCACAGGGCTCACACACTCACACACCACACAATCACAGGCAATTTAGCAACTCCAATCAGCTGCAGCATGTTTTTGGACTGTGGGGGGAAACTGGAGTACCCAGAGGAAACCCCACAAGGACATGGGGAGAACATGCAAACTCCACACACATGGAATTCTGACCACGGGTCCTAGAGGTGTGAGGTAACAGTGCTAACCACTGCACCACCATGCTGCCCCAACTCCACTTTTAATAACTGAATAATAGTGTGTGTGTGTGTGTGTGTGTGTGAGAGAGAGAGAGGTCATCCCAAAAACCCGCACCCACAATGGATCAGGTTCCCCACCCCTGCTCTATGCATTTCACCCAATTTTTCTTCGACTGAAATGTTCCACACGCACAATGTAGACGTTTCCAGGGCTTGAGAATTGGCCTGGTGGGCAGTTGGAGAAATACCACTACAACTATCCCAGACTGTGGCAGCCATGAACAAGTTTATTTTGTAGCTAAGAGCAACAATTTTAGCACTCAGAACTTATATTAAAGATATTTACATAGGCACATACATTTCTTCAGTCTGAGTGTGTTTGGTACATGGTGCTTCTTCTTCACATGTGAAATAAAGACTAATCTGAGCATGTGCAGAGTGAGTTACGGGATCTGTAACAGACCACATACAGTACCTGTCATTGGACTACAAAAACTACATAACAAGGGAATCACATGCAAACTCCACACACAGCAAAAAGGTAGGATTCTAACCCCCAACACTGTAAATATGAGGCACTAGCATTACCCAATCCCATGTTTTTTATTTATTATTTAACCAGAACATTTGTGGCAGAGTTTTCCTGATCTTTGCTAGCCATTTCTCTCAGTTGAATGCTCATCTTTGGTGGTTGGTCTCTCTGCCCTGATAATGACTGTCGCCTGTCACTGTGCTACAGTAAGTGCAGCCTCTGTAGTGGACCGATATACTGTAGTAACAGCAGAAACTGGAATTTATATCAATAAAGGGCTCGCTTCCTACTCGCCTTGCAGAACATTCATCTGTATGGCTTTCTTTTATTTATAGATGCTTAGCGTTTAATTAACTGAAGTTGGCTTAAGCTTTTAGGAAAATCAAGGCACACTTAAATGTCCTGAAGGATCTGTTTAATGAAGAAAGCTCTTACTGAAGCATTGGTTTGTCCCTGCCATTATTTTCTCATGACATTTTCTGTTTGTTTGTTTGTATTGTATTGTTGTTCATCTTCTGTCATTTGTATATACAGTATGTTAATCTGCTTTTTTCAGCAACACACTGATTGTTCCCTCCGGGGCTTTAGGTTCGAATCCCATCCTCTGTGTGTGTATTTAACATTGTTCCATCCTGCCTCTTTTCTGGTTGCTATGGTTTTCACTCTCAGTCCAAGCATGTACCTCTGACGTGGTTAGAGGTCTGATAGACTGTGAGTGTATGAGCCAAGTGGACCCGGAATCCCATCCAGGGTGCAGCCCCCTGCTTCCCGGGGTGGATTCCGGCTCTCTGCCATCCTGTGGGGAAATGGATGGGTGGAGAGTCTGTTGCCCTTTTTTGCAGAACGTTTAGTCAGTTTCACACTGAGACCAGCTTTTACCTAATCAGAATTTCCTGTTGTTGAACCCCATCTGTGTAAAAACAGTGGAACACTGAGATTTTACAGTTTCTGATTCTTTCCTCATAAAAATCAAGTGTATCGTTAGTGTTGTGTTTCTGTAATGTTCTGTGTCATTGTGCAGTGGTAGAATGAATAACGTTCCTGAGCAGGAAAGCAAGGAGAGTACCTACACCAGAATGTACCATCGCCTAGATCATTGAAACCTGGAAGGGATATTTGTATTCAGTCTAGATTTTTTTTCTTTCTATCAGTAGTTAAGTTTTTGCCATTTTTTAAAGAATACCAGATTAAGATTTGTATGAGGTGTTTATGTTTTGTGCCGTAAGTTATGTCTTCTGGAGACGAGCTTCCCTGCTGATACTCAGAAAGAAACACTTTCAGGATCATGTGGTTTCTGTCGTTTCCTGGGAGACTTTGGATTTGCTTCGCAGCGTGAGACGTCCTCACCGAGTCACTGCTGTAAATTATTACTTAATAGAGGTCTGTTTGCACTGAATTCTTTCTTGAGTGTTGACGGTAGTTTATTAGTGCTCTTGCAAAGGAGTGAGCGTTAATATCATTTTGTTACCAAGCCAGTAATTTTGCAGCACTCTGGAGTTGCTTCAGGGAACAGCGAACCCAACCCTGGAAGTGGAAATACTCAGTTCGGGAGTACGAATTCCTGATTGCCGGTCAGAAATTGAGACCTCATTACTCACGTAGGCTGACAAAAGAACATGCTGACAAGCTGTTGTTTTATTTACTGCCTTTTCCTAATTAAAAGGGAAATGTTTATTATTCAGTGGGAAAGTAACCTTGACAACTGCAGTTTTTGTTGTAAAATACATCAAGAAAACGTACTTGCTTTGTCTTTTACAGATAAACATCATATCCTTTGTCCTTCACAACTCATCACCACACAGAGCCAGATCACAAAATGGCAGCCGTTAAAATGGGTGCCAGTGTAATTCGTTCTGTTGGCTGGGGTCTGTGAGACGATAACGAGCGCCGGACGTTTCTGAGTAATTATGCCAGTGCTTGTGCTTCCAGAGTTAGTGTTACGTTCACAGATATTCAGAATCACTGCTGTGCTGTTGTGTCATATTTCATTCACGAACCATTAGATGGTTTTAAAACACTCAAACTCCACTAAGGAACCATTTCTGTTCTGAAAGTGTCTCATCTGGGGGCGATTCTAGGATTTTTTTTAAGGTGGGGGACATACAGTAAGAGTGGCCGAAATTCATGCAAGGGGCCACCCTTATTTTTAACCAATATTAACCAATATTTTATGATTGAGTGAGTGATAGGGGAGGGGGCACAACCAGGGCCAATCAGCTTTCAGCTGGGACCAGTGCTCCAGTGGCTCCGCCCTTCTATACACCGACAGACAAAAGCATGGCAGGAAATGCTGTCTCTCAGAGTAATGGCCTGTCCACTGGGCTCATCATGTGCGTATTTATTTTCTGTAAATGGACTCATATTCAAACATCTCATTTTGAATGCTAACTAGTCAAATGGGCCTGGAACCTGGAGCTCGTCCCCTAAATCTAAATCATTAGGCTGCTTGAAACAGGCCCATGAAGGGCTGTTATTATTTTTGTGTTACTCAAGGAATAAGCCTGTAAATGTAAAGCTGTGTGTTTAAACTTTCTTTTGGAATGACAAGTTGAGTGTATATCTGTGCTAATGAAAACCAAATGGATGGCATTATTACATTCCGGTATGTTCTATGAGCTCCATTTAGTAAGAAACCGTCGCTGTGATTGTGCCCCAGAGAAACACAGGAAGCCCTGATGATTCCAATAGTCATTATAGATGTTAAGCGCTTCATGTGCCCAGCAGGTTGGCTGATGCCTGGCAGCTCTGGGGCTGGCATTAATGCTCCCCCCACTGCAGGTATTAGTGTTGGGCGGGTGCAAGCATCATCAAACGGAATTTGAGGGGGCCTTGATCTTAGTGTTGCCTCAATATTGTAAGTACTGCAGGCAAGCAGGGAGAGGACAGCATCCATGCCATGCCGCTCTCCTGGTAGCGGGCTAGGAGGGCCCAATCAACCAGCCAGGTAGGTGGGTTAGTAGATACATAGATAGATCTATATCCCTTGGGTGAATATATAGATAACCATAACCCTAAAGTAAAATTACATACAGTCCAGCATAAAATACAGAAAGAATATAAATACATAGTGGATAGGGTCATGTGGGTGGGTTGCTGAGGGCTGTATGAGGATGCAGTGCTCCTTCCGCTCCAGGAACAATTCATAACAGCGATACTATGTGATTATATCCAGTCTCAAGAATCTTGGCAGAAGAGGAATTTTTCAACATGACAACGATCCCAAACACATTGCAAAAACAACATGAGTTAAAAATTAAAAAATTGAAAACTTTGAACTGGCCAGGCATGTCTCCTGACAATAGAACACTTTTTGGGAATTTTACAGCAGAAAATTGAGCAACAGAACCCCTGCAGCAAAGAGCAAATGAAAAGACCATCTCCCCATAGATTTGTGCAGGACTAATATCATCCATTCCCTGGAGGACTGAATCCGTCATCAGAAATAAAGATGGACAAATAGGAGAATGGAATGTCGCTGTTTTTGTACTGACTTTAACTGATGTTAGTTCATAGATACGGACCTTTCATTATTGTTTAATTAGTTAAATATTTCTATTTTTCAAATTAATTGGTTTCATTCTTGTTGGACATTTTAACGACAAATAAATAAAAATGATTATTAAATCCACAGGAATTTAATTTTCTTACCATTTTAGTGATACTGGCTATGGCTGTATTTGTATGCTCATATGCTGTGTGTGTGTGTGTGTGTGTGTGTGTGTGTGTGTGCGCACACACGCGCATGTGTATGTGTTGTTGATTTGCTGAAATTCATAGCACTGTTATTGTTATTGCTGATTTACAGTTTAGTTGTTGTACTGTTACTGCTAAGTCTGAGTTGATCAGAAGTTAATTATTTTAAAAATAGCAACGGTATCCTGTGGAATCTGTGTGTATTTGGGACAATACGTGATTATTTACGAGTAATTTAGTAATGGTGCTGACTGTCTCATTTGAGTCAGCTGATGTCACGTTGGGCACAACGCTTTTCAACAGACCAGTGCATTCCTAGCACACAATGGCACTTTCTAGCATTTTATTCTAGCATTTGTCTGTGGTTATTATATTCCCCAAACAGGGAATACATATGATTTTAGGACCAGCCCACCACCATCACCGCAGACACTTTCTTATCAATGCGATAACTCAAAAAGTATCTGATGCTTCTTTTCCAAACATTGCAGGCACATTGTTTAGGCTACATTCCGGAACTAATCAAATTTTGAGACAAATTGACCAAAGCAACACTGCTTAGTGGTAAAAATGGAAGGGTGACTGCAGACGACATTTGACCTTTTGAAAAGTATTTGATCGATCGTATTACTACTTCACAGCAAAATGAAATGGGTGAAGATCTACAATTAACATGCTGAGACAAAGTGACCAAAATTTGAGAGAAATCACCAGAAAGTTAATCAAAGCAGTGCCACAAATTAAAGCAGTGATAGCAAAGAAAAGTAGCCTCCGTCACTTGATTGTTAGCATGGTAACTAAAATATAAATATATTTGCCGAATATTTTCTAAACTTTGCAGACACATTCTATGAAGATCTGGCAGTGATCAGACTAGTCACAGAAAAACTGAAGCAGTGCCACATAGTGGTGTGTAAGAGAAGAGCAGCATCGGACACTTGATCTTGTCAACATGATAACTCAGAAAGTATTTGTCATTTTCCAAACCTTGCAAACTGAAGGGTTAACAATCTAGTACTGTTCAAATTTTGAGATATATTGCACCAAAATTGAAGCAACTCTGCTTAGTGGCTGCAAAGAGAAGGGTAACTGCAGAAGACACTTGATCTTATGAATAGGATAACTCTATTTGAACTTATTACTCTCTGTACTCTGATCTTTGATGGATCTTAGTACTACTTCAGAAAAACATTATTTGGATGAAAATCGATACCTGATACACCTGACACAAATCACCTCCACACTGAAATGGCAGCATTTGGTGGCAGCAGAGGGCGAAAAGGAAGGCTGCAGAAGTAATCTTTCCAACACAGTCATCTAAACGTTTTCCATGGATTTTTCAAGCTTCCTAGGAACAACGTACAGTACAGGTCATTGCTTCACAAACTGTGGTGCACGAGATGAGTTTACATTCGTTTTCTCACCCACCCAGCTGTAATCCTAGTCAGCACATGAAAGAACAGGTGCAAATTTGGTGATCCTGATTGCATTGAGACACGTCACAGAGAGCTGGGCTTTCAATATGGATTTTTTTGGAGAAGTGGGGAGCGTGTGTAGCTAAAGCTTGCGTGGTATTGTGGTAACATTTTCAACTTATTGCGGGATTTTCTTTCAGCGAAACTTGTTGAGTGTGCTAGTGTTCAGTTTCCACAAGTTTGGCATCTGTTATATTACACAGATTTTATGTACAGCCCATTGTACATGTGAGGTAGTTTTTTGGTCAGCTCACTGGAGCTTGTGTCTGCACAGTCAAAAACAGTCTAGGTTGCAAAAAACTGCAGTAGGGTGTGTATGTATCTGTATGTTTGTGTCTGTTTGAAGAGCTTCTTTGCACAGACAGTTGGGATCCTAGATGAGTGCAGTGTTTAGCACCTGCACAGTATCATTCTCAGCAGCCTTCTTAACCCACACATGTACATAAATAAATGCTTATTTCTAGACTCTTGTATTACCTCCATTTGTTGTCAGTTTTGCACACCATAGATATTTATGATTATAATTTAATGTCAAATTTTTGTAATAAGTTATAATCTCTGTCTTTGCTAAATGTATGGGCACCGCACTGCATATTGTATATTGTACGCGATATACATATGTATGTGACAAAACTTTGAAACTTCAAAATGTTTTGCAAATTGGCAATTAAGTGGAACTTGTAATAAATGAATAGGTGTACTTTAGTTTACACGAGTTACATGCCAAGTTCAGGTAGAAACACATTTATTGGCTTTCACATTTCCAGGTGATCCATACAGTAATTCTAGAAATGTCAGTGGTTGGGAGTGTGGGAGGGATTAGATGGGGGAGGCTGTCCAGGAAATGCATTGTTGCCGTGCCAACAGAATCTTTACTAATTCATTATTGATATATTTATATAGCCAGTGAGTGTGTGAGTGCATGGTGTGAGTGTGGTCGACTCACAAAAATAAATAGGAATTAAATAGACAGACTGCTGTGATACTGTTGGCCTGGGAGAAATGAGGCTTTATTGGTATTATCATGTCCTCCCCATCACTGAGTAATTCCAATTTTGTGTTTTATTGGTTCAGGTGGGGGTGAAATCAGGTAGTTATTGACAGAACTTGGTAATCTCTCCCATATGGGTTTTGAAGACACACTTTACCGACACCCATCTTACCTTAAAGATTTTTTTTACAACAATGAACAAGTTTGCCTTTGTTTCCCAACATGTTTTGTCTCCTCCAGGTGCTCCAGAAGCTGGGCAAGGCCGACGAGACGAAGGATGAACAGTTTGAAGTATTTGTCCAAAACTTTAAGAAACAGGAGGTAGGACCCCAGTGGCCGTAGTGGGGAGGGGGGAGGCAGGGGAGATGTGAAATTGTCAGCAAAACCAGAGGATTTGCCTCAGATATTAGCTCTCTATCTGTCATGTAAATTACTAGATAAAAAATCAGGCATGTCTTCCCTACCTCTGTCATGTTGGAGTGAGGTGCCGTCAGACAGGCTAATAAGACGTTTGACCCCCCCATACTGACCTGGAAGGGAAGGAGAAGTAAATATGGGCTTGCTTTATCAGTATTTTTTTTTGCAGAATGGTCAAAAAACTAAGGAATCAGTGTTCTGATTCTCATACCATACTCCAATCCAATACTAATCCAGATCATGAATGGGTATAATCAGAATTAATACTGTATCAGCATCAGAATACTAATTCTTAGATTTTTGCATGAACTAGAAAAATGTAGTAATTGAAGTTTTGTTTTTTTGGTAACGTTTTACTTGATTCAGATACTACTGAGGTACAAATCATGAACAAACATAGTTTGAGAAACTTGAGATAAGATGCATCAGGATTCATTAATGGTAAATGGATTGCATTTACATGAGCACACAAAGCGCTTTACAGTTATGCCTCACATTCACCCATCCACACTCACACACCGGTGGCGGAGGCTGCCATGCAAGGCACCAACTGGCTCACCAGGAGCAATTTGGTGTTCAGTCTCTTGCTTAAGGACACTTCGATGGGGTCAGGAGGAACCAGGGCTCAAACCTGCAACCCTCCAGTTGCCAAACGGTAGCACTACCTTCTGCACCACCATCGCCCCATAATGATGAGCAAACATGAGATCAGTATTTCACTTGTGTTATTCATGACTTGTTCCTTCTGTAGTTCATAGTTCATAAAGGTTTACAGAAATAATGGATATGGTAACAAATACAGTAACTACTTGAGATATATACAGTATATATACACACTCATTGTTAAAAGGAAGTATGTCCCCCTCCTTTAAGTCCATGTTTTTATTTATCTGGGCTTAAATAACAATTGTATGGTACTTACAGTAGCAACTTCTATATGCAAACAAATCTACTGTAACCCGGGGAAAAAAGCACAACAGATTTCTATCTGCTGTTATTTCTAACTTTCTTACTTTTCAAAAAAGTAAGAAAGTTAGAAACAGTTTGAAAAAAAAATAATGTAATTCTAAGAATCACAGATGATACACACCTAATATTTGGTAAAATTGGGGGAAAAAACATCATAAGGACTGCTGCACATACGTATGTGCTGTTTATTTTGGGTCACAAGGTACTGTAGTGTATAATCTTTAACTGAATGATTCAAATATTATAATTCTATCATCTAGTGCTCCTACATTGTGTCATCTTTGCATTTAACAGAAAGGCACTTCTGTTGTACCATAAAACCCCCGTTTTCCATATTCAGAAGGGAATGAAGCGACTGCCCACTTCAGCTGATATTGCTATTGCAAAACTCTGAGGTGCATTAAAAAGTAATCAGCTGTGCGAAATAAACCCCCCTATGTAAGGTGAGCAGGATTGTGTGGGCATGCAGTTTGTGAGCCTGGCCACCACTGCTGACTGTATAATGGAATCATGCCGCTACATGAGGATGTTTACTCAGTGGCGAGTTTATTAGCCAAAGCAGCTTGCAGCCTGCTCCTATATACAGCATTCAGACAGGGTCAAGGAGTCACTTACTGTGTGTCTGAGCACCAGTCTAGGATGCAGGGTCTAAGTGATTTGAAATGCAGTGCGATTGCTGGTGCCAGACAGGGTGGTTCCAGCATCTCAGAAACAGCCACCCTCCTGAAATTTCCAACGCAATACAACGTCCAGACTTTTCAGAACATGGTGTGATTCGAATATCCAGTCTTATTGCTGGAAACACCACATTAATGAGAGAGATCAGAGGAGAACGGCAAGTTCTCAGCCCTTTAAGTAGTTCTGGAGACGCCTGAGTGTAGCTCTGTGCAAACCAGCAGCACATTTACATTTAATGAGGCCCCATCTTCATCCCTCCAGAGGAAATCCAGGAGCCGAGATAAGTGACTATTGTACCTTGTTTGGCTGATGGGAAATGATTTTCCTCCCTGCTTTTTTTGAAAGCATGCTCTGAATCTGCATCCACACTGAAAATCATGATGGAGATTCTCCGTAAAGGCCGGGCGTCACGTCCCTCCGCCCAGCCCTCTCATGTGCCACGCCCACCTCCTTACGCCCACCTCCTTACCCCCATGTGAATTCCCAACGTATCAGCTGTCCTGCGTTCGTTCTGATGTCATGTCCCGCATTTAAGTCCATGTTCTAGTCTGTAACCGCAGATCTGTCATTGATGTTTGCTGCCATCTGTCCTCGATTCCCCTTTGGTTTCCCTAATAAATCCGTCTGTTTGGATTCCTGGCTCCCGGAGTTGTTTCCTCGCTCCCGGCTCACGTACGGAATATGACACTGGGCTTCATTTGATAACGACACAGGCCAGACGAGGATCTTGTTGTCATATCTGATGTCGCGAGTTCAGTTATGGTTCCTCAGCTTCTTGTCTGTCAGTGTTGTCCTTCCATGTCATGCTCTGAATTTTAACTTATTTCTTTTTTTCCTTCAGGCCTTGATGGAAAATGTTTTAAATTTGTTTTGAATTAAAAATATTCATTTCAGCTACCTGGCTTGGCTCGCAACCTTTCCGTTATAAATGTTGCCTGCAGTTTTTGTTAAAGCTTGCACCCAAAAGCACAGCTGACTAAAAGATGGCTACCTAATTAACAGGATTGGTTGGTTAGAACTGTAAAAAATGTTTGTATGTCATTTAATCTTTAATCTGCGGCAAATAGCATAGCTGATGGTCTTCTTAGTGACAGTCAGTATTCCAGGAGTTTCTGTGGTCTTCTTCTGTCTGCTTTTTCTCCTTCAGCCCCTGCTCTTGTGGTTTCCATGGTGGAGAATGACAATAGGGTGCTGGGATCATAGGGCTGGGCAGGTTGTAGGGAGGGGGCAGATTAATCTTGGTCTGTTGAGAGCTGAGCTCACATAGAAATACACTGCACACAGGAATGTCATAGTGAAGGGCCCTTAGAATGGCCATTCTCACTCTCTCTCTACACACTACAGTATATATATATATATATGTTGCTCTATTATATATCAGCACTCTATATGTAGGTAGACATTAAACTCTAGCATTTTGTATGTGTAATTTCTATGTAAAATTAAAATATAAAAATGATTGAGGCAGAGCCAGACATTCTGTGATTTATTTATTTCCACAGAAATAAACCTGTTATTAATAAATTTTATTTGCATTTTCTCTCAGCTGGAGAGTTAAGAGCCTCTTCAATATCGTGGAGTTCAGAAATGGAATCGGGGTGTTTTCATGCTTACATAGTATCATGATGCAACTTAATTGTGTAATTAATATTGGTATTAAAATCTTTGTCTGTGCTGTGACTATCCTGTCAATGCAGGAGATCAGGAGAGACTGTAAGGAGGATGCTGTCTTCATCCATTAATTGTCATTTCAAATGGTAAATCGTAAGTGTCGTTCCAAATAATAAGATTAACCGAATAAAATCAGGAAAGTAGAGATTGCCGTAGGTTCATTGATGAGTGGCTGTGTTCGCCACAAAAGAAATGTTCAAATTTTAATCACGTCTCAGTTGTCTTATCCAATAAAAAGCTCCGGGATTGATTAAGAAAAGTCATTAATCATGAGCAACAGAATCACTTAACATAATTATCATCAATGCTGTAATGTTTTCCTGTGCTTAGGCCGAACAAAAAATTATTTGTAATATTGCTATTTCATTTTTGCTTTCAAGGTTCTCACTGCATGTAAGAATAGCGTGTATGGATATAAGTGTTGGCAGTAGTTCATCCATTAAGAACATTTGATTATTGTCTGCAATGCAGTCATAATACATTACTTAAAAGTCTATATCAAACCTCTAATCATTCATTTAGACCTACTGGTACAGTAATGGTGAATATACATGATCCTGTTGTAAGTTCAGTCTGGTTAAATATTTTTTCCATTTTCACATTACATTTGAAAAACAGCCAGGCTCTCCCATGTCTTTTAAGCTTTAAAGACAGAGAGGGATGCCGTTAGAAACTCAGGTGGTCTGCTGACCGCGTTCGTGTGCCGAATGGCAGCTCAGGGATCAGCTTCCGAAATCGATTTCCTGCTGTGGAATGATAGGATTCCCTCTTACCTACTCAGAAAGGTGGGTCAGCCTTTCTGACAGAGAGAAATTCAAGCATGAAAAATGTGAAATATTCATTAACATTGCAGGAGATGCTGGAAACTGGATGTCAGGTTTCTAATGTGACAGTTTCCATGCTCTTTAAGTACCTTTCCAGAAAGTTCCATAGCTTTACCTAAATACTATTACAGAGTGTTTCTTTTGTATTTGGCCAAACCATACATGTGTTTATTCAGGTTAAGCAAATGTATGGGGAAACCTGCTTTGAAAATGTCAGGTGCCATTAGGATTGTCCGGTTTAACTTCCTGAGAAAATTTTGAAAATAATATAATTTGCAAAGAAGATAAAAAAAAAAAACTTTTGCCACTAAGAAAAATCAAAATGCATTTAGAAAATATAGTATTAGAAGTGGTTTCCTTTTTTTAAATGGTGTTCAGTGCAAAAAACAGCTTTAGTAGACACTTCAGAATTAAAATTTTGTTTGCACTATAAAAAATGAGTATAAAGAATGAAAAAGACACCTATTAATAGCTGAAGACAGAATGGCTGCGAAACATTTTGAGTATCAATTGTCACGGGTTCGGGGGTACAATATAACTAACAGAACAAAACGATCTACGAAGGAAAACTGGTAACATGGAGTACAAGAAGGAAAGCGCACAGACAACAGGAAGGGAAGCAAACATAAGAGCCAACATCACATAATCAAGAAAACACAGTCAATGACTCCACAAGGAACAGAGCAAGATCAGGTACTTAAATACAAAGGGTTAACGAGGAAACACAGGACAGGTGAGAACAATCAAGAGACTCTGGGGAACAACACACAGGTGAATCTAATAAACTAACTCATGGAACTCAGAATCTAGGAAACAGAATCCAACACTAGGGAAATAACAAAGACGTGAAACACAACCAAGGGCACAAAGCAAAAACCAAATCAGAATGCAAAACACAAAACTCAGGAACTAGAAAAACTAATAAAACGGAAACACTAAGGAACAAAATCTACTAAACACTGGTTGCGGGGCTTGAACACACAACTAACAAGCTAGTAGCCACACACTTAGCCCATAACACCACACAACAATCTGTGGAGCTAGGGAAACACACTAAGTACTCGAAAGACACAGGCAGGACAGGATGGCCAGCGACACCTTCTGGCCAAAAAGGGAAGAGACACGAAAGGTTGGGGCAGACAGGTGCTGACCCTGACAACAGCACCGTGTTGAAACTTTATTGGGAAAAATTTGCATTTGGTGTTTCGACTTTGATTTGAGATTAACTTGTTAATTCACATCCTGCCATTCTCCACATTGCACATCCTGTTTTTTTCATGTTCATTTTCATGTTTAATTGTACTAACAAGGCTGCCACAGACCATTTTTCTGTTTTCCTGTACATCTATGACTATTTCTCAGTTTCAGTTGCAGTTTAAGGAGGATTTGAGGATGCATGCTCTAAATCTAGTCCAAAAGAATCAGGCACTCAAAACTGACAGCAAAAAAATAATAATTAAAGCCCTACTGTAGGTCATAATCCAGTATTAGTGCTAGTTGTTAAATTCACACTCTGTATCTCTATAGAAACATACCGTAGTGCTAGCACGAATGATACCTGACACTTGAGATTTTGGTGGCTTTGTTTACAAATCAGTGTAATTGTTATGTTTTCCCAAGTGCAGTTTTTCACAAAATAAAATAACATGCTGGCAGTATAGATGTGCTTGAGCTGAGGACATAATGTTTGGTGTTGACTGTCGCTGTGTGTGGGCACCCAGATGAACAGCACGTTAACGCAGTGTCACTCTGGGAATGTAATGACACGTTTAGATGTTATGATTTGGCTTTCAGAAATTTTAAAAGCCACACTGCATGCATCACATCTACAAACGCATGAACGTTAATGTAGTACAGTACCTAATGCAGCTAGTGATGTTATACATTTTATACAACTTTTATCAACAACTTTGCCATCCTCTAGGTGACCGTTTATCTTTTCACAGCCTCATTAATTTATGGGAATCCAGAAATGATGAGTATCACAGCATAGGCAAAATTACAATTTTGGTTGCATACAATCACAAAAAAATAGCCTGGGGGCTGGGAGGGGGCTGCATTGTGGACTGTCTGGTGGTCCCCAAGGACCGGGTTGGGAAACACTGATCTAAGGCATTTCAGATGATTTCATATTGACAAACATCTGACCCGGACCCCAGTAAAACCATCTGATAGTGTAATGTGCTGGCATTTCATTGATCTGCACCCCTGGGATTCCATTCGCCTTCACGTTATTTAACACATACAGTAAATTACCAAGCAGGGGTTCCCTCATCCACGTTGTGCGTGGAGACCTTCTGAGCACATCCTTATGAAAGACCTGAGCTTCCCCATTTGCTGGAAGATCAGACGTGTCAGAATGAGCTGTATTGACAGAGACCAATATGGATGGATCAAGGTCTGCAGTCTCTGACAGACTTATTACAAAGCTTTATTTTAAAGCCTGAATATTTAAGGCACTGGCATTTTGTACAAGATGTACCTTGTGATGGGAACAGGCTCCCCCCCCCCCCATGGCCCTGATCAGGATAAGCTTTTAGAAGATCAATGGAATATTTAATGCAGCTCATGATGTACAGATGGATGTAGATGTTTTGGGGGTGGGGAAAAGTTGAGGACATGCTCCTTTAGAATCCTGTAGTATACGCGTACCAACCCTGAAGATGCTGAACTTATCCGATATGAGAAAGGAAGCAGCATCCAGCCTGGTTAGTACCTGGATAGGAGACCACCTGGGAATACCAAGTCCTGTAAGCTTTTCTCGCTTTGGGGGTGACATGTGACTCAGCAGGTTTGGGTTCCGTGCTCATGATCAGAAGGTCGTCAGTTCAAATCCCATAGCTGGGAGAGTGATGATATAACCATTGGGCCCTAGAGTGAGGCCCTTAACCCTGATCGCATTAGGGATTGCCTGACTCTATTTTCTTAATTGTATGCATTGGATAAGAGTATCTGCTGCAATAAGTAAAGATGTAATATGTAACTGATAGTTTGATGAGTAATGTAAATAATTTCACCTGTGTGTGGGAATGGTAGGTAGGAAGCAGTGGTTCAGCTCCTTTTTTATGGCTTCTTCCTTTAAAGTAGCAATCTTGATGCTTATGTTCCATTTGCCTACTTTGTCAAACCATAAGCTGTCCGAATAAATACTCCTCATAGCTTCGCGAAAACATACTTGTGTATCTGTCTGCTGTAACAGAGAATCAGATTTTTCACACATTGCGGTGCTGAGTGTCATTCGTCGCGTGAGAGCATGGCTGATTTCTGCTGATTTTGGGGGCATTTTGCGGAACTAATTACCCATGATGCCAATGCAGTGTATCACAACTGTGGCTGTTGCCAAGGAGACGGGACAGCGACCCCTGAGCTGCATGTTTTTCGAACATCTTGGCCGAACGTGATTATTCCGGAATCAATCCGGATGAAATGACCACAGCAGAATAACAAATCGAAATCTGCAAAATACAGTCTAAAAATAATATGCATCTGAATGTTTGTTTTGAAATAAACGCGGACACGCAACAGGCACCCAAAACATGATTTTGTATATTGCAGGTTTAAAGTGCGTATCTAGTTAAAAGTGAATTTTGGATCTAGCACAGCTTGTGCATGTGGACCGTACCTCATTGCGGCTGGATTGATCCAGAGTGCAGATACCAATGGACCATGCGCTTCACTTCACACAAGAGCCGCCTTACTGTGACTGACTGATAAATACACTGATTTCAGCACGCTGGAGAGAGACGGCCTCTGGTCGTTTGCTGCCAGGGAATCTGACCTGACACGTGTGTTGGCCAGTAACCCGCGAAAGGTGTGAAATCCCAGGGCAGTCTGCATGAGTGGCCTCAGATGAGGAGCATTTACTGTGGCCCCTGAGGCCTGTCGCCACCCGGCGGCTCTTTCTTCAGATCCTCGTCCAAAAGTAGGACCGTTTTTTTTTCTTTTCATTTTTCATTTCAACTTTTTCTGACTGGACTGCTGATTTTACGCTACCTAAGCCTGCCTTTGGAAGCCGTTACTGGCGGAGATCATGTACAGAAGGCACAGCCTTGTACCGCCAGAAGCACATTGTTTTTAAACACCAGACACGAGAGCGTAACTTTGGGTTGAACACTGGGGGGAGAGAGGTCTCCACCCATTTAGGGGAATCCAGCGGCATGCATGCCCCCTATGGCCAGACCCATACTTATTTATTTTTATCTATTATACGGTGTACTTTCACCCATTTTCAGTTCCATACCCCTTCCCTGTGGCAGAGGCACAGTGGCACAGAGCTTGGCACTCGCGCGTCACACCATTGGCACCAGGGTTTGAGTCTCTGCCCTGGCGATATGTGAACTGCCACGTTCTGCCAGCATCCAAAAACACACTAAGGTTAATTGGAGATTCCCAACTGGCTGCAAAAAATGGATGGATGGATATTCCCCACATGCACCTCCGTGCACCTCCCTTCCCCGCCGTTCAGCGAACGTTGTCCAGGTGGTGGCGTGCCATATCTCTTCAGGGAACTGAGCACCCTGTAGGATCACATCCTACATTTGCCTCTGCCTTCTCACTTGGCTTTGAAATAGGGGGCAGTTTTATCGCTACTTTACTTAATTATCCCTGTTGTGAGATGAGGGGACCGTGACACCACGAGAGATGGAAGTATGTCATTAAATAAGTACAGGAAGTACTTGCATTGGCATCACCTGGTTTGTCTGTGAATTTGTAGGGCAACTTAATAAGAATGATTCAGTGAAGTTTGTCTGACAGCAGGTTCAGCTGCTAATGAAATTAGGACATTCACTTTTTTAGTTGCCATACTAAAGAGTATTACACAGAGATCCGTGGTTCGGATAATTTACTGAGAGTCCAGTGTCAGGAGGCTGCTAATTGAAGCTCTCCTGTCCTTAATTTTATTTTCCTACAGGCAGAAGGAACTCGGCTGCAAAAGGAAATGAAGGCATACCTGGCCGCCATTAAAGGTGAGTCTTCAGCCCACCAAAGACAGAAGCCCGCCCCAGATAGTTTATATCATCTATCATCTAGTGTTAATCTTCAACATTCAACATTGTTTTATTGACGACAGCTTTTGTTGGTCCTATCAGCATAACCATAAAACAGGAAGAGCTTCAAGACTATCATACCTTGTTATGAAATCATTTTCTTAAGATCATTTTCAAACATTTTAACATTTTTCATTCATTCACCACAACATTGTTTACCCTCATGGACTGTTTAACCTCAATCGATTCTCTGCCAGTCAGTATAGTACCCCCTCCAATAGGTATATGGTGTTAAACTAGCCTAGCATTATGTGACATTTGTTCGCTTTATCATTGGCTCTTCTAATTTCTTCTATTTTTCCCTCTATGAGAAGTGCCACCAAAAGGAACGTAGGTGATCAGTGTTGACACACCACAGCACACAACAATGAAATGTGTCCTCTGCATTTAACCCATATGTGACATCATGACATAGCAGGGGGCAGCTAATTCAGCGCCCGGGGAGCAGTACCTTGCTGGTCTTGCTGCAATATTTGAATTACAAGTGCGCTTCCCTAATTATTAAGCCACCACTGCCCACAAAAAAATGAACGAGCCAGCCAGGAGTCGAACCTAGAACCTTCTGATCCATAGTCAGACACATTATCCATTGCCCCACTGGCCCATTGACACGCATAAACATAAAAGTATGTTTATTAATGAAAAAGATCACTAGCCATCACTAGAGAACACAGTAGTAAGACTTCTTCATTGAAGGATTTGTAAAATTGATGGGTGTGAGCTCTACTGAGCCATAAAAAGCGGTAAGTCTATAGGGCTGGAGTCAGCTCATGCGTGCGGCGCTTTGGCGCTTACTGGCTTAAGATGCTGTGCCTGTAATCCGAAGGCCACCCATGATTGGCAGAGTGATGTCACCATCGGGCCCTCCAGGGATTGGCTGACCCCGATTTCTTAATTTTAAGTGGCTTTGGATAAAAACCATCAGTAACACTTTACTTGAGGGCGCACAAGTAGCTTAGTAACTCAGTTACTACTCAAGTACAAATCATGAAAAAATATGCAGGAATAACTGCATGAAATATATGGACCATTATGACTGATTGATGATGAACAAACATAGGGTCAGTATGTTAATAACGCTTAGTTCCTGGTTAATTAATACATTAAGTTGGAGTGTACTACATTATTTGTGTCTCCTCGAAAGTGTTACCAAAGCAGACGCTGAATGGATAAATATTGGTGTGGTTGTTTCCTAGGGATGCAGCAGGCGTCGATGAACTTGACAGAGTCCCTGCATGAAGCGTATGAGGGCGGCTGGTATGGGAAGGATGCCGTCATGACCATTGGCACGGTGAGCCTTCTCCTTTATGCCGGGTTTCTGTCAGAGCTCAGAGGTATCTTACGGGGTCCATAGCGTACAGTATATCTGTACAGCAGGCATTTCAGCTGAACAATAAGGGTAGGCACTGGTATTTCTACTGCCAATGTAACGTGCATATTGTTCTTTTCCACAGCTCACCCTTGTTTTTTTTTGCATAATGTTTTATTGCATGCAAATGAAAATATCAACAGTGTTTACTTCGTGTTACATTGCAGTGACAATAACTGATAAGTAGGTCTGCATTTTACAAACGTGCTGGATTTAATAATAAAATCTATTTAATGTTCTCATACATAGTTTATTATAATAATGCATTCTTCAGACAATGACTCTCTCCAGTCCTATTTTCCTGCTTAACGGGTCCTGCTGATGTCTGTATTGGGCTGGATATGTGAGTTTCTTGTGAGGAATAGTTATTATATCATATTTAACTTCTTTTATATCTGCTTAGCTGACCACCTTACAATGACAACCATAGAACTGATTTCAGTCTAGATAGAGGAAGTGAAGATCAGGCCGACCATATCTTCATTCAGTAAGGAACTTCCTCTTTGTGCCAAAGGGAGTAGGTACACATCAAAGAGGATACATATTGGCCCTCAGTAAGATTTAATTGGAAACATATGGATTACTTTGCTCAAAGTCATGGGTAATGGCTGGTGTATCTGTGCCAGACCTTCGGTGCTCCCTTCAGGTTCGATTCAGCAACGAGGACTTACTGTAAAGAGCAATAAATCTTTCAGGGGGAGTCTGACACCCCAGCCAAAAGTGAGCAAAGAGAAACTGTGATGCTGGGGTGTGAGGTTTACGTGAAGCTCTCTACGTGGCTGAATGACCACTGAAAAATTTCACCCATGGAAATAAACTTGAGGCTTGAACTGCTAATGAATGGTGATAAAAATAGCAGAAACATGTCCCTGATGTCGCATTTTTTTAAGATAGGTGACAAGGTGTTACAGAGCATCTTATATGCGTCCATAGTGCCACAAAACTGCGAGTGTAGTTTCTCAGCTAAGTGGGGCAGGGGGGCTGGGGGTCTGGTCCTTAGGATGAAAGCGGGGTGTGATGCCCGAATGCTCAGACACTGCCTGCCCCCACAGTGCTGACCCTTGGAGATCCCTGGGATACTTACAGTCATTTCCAGTTCTCTGCTGGGTACCTGTAATGCTGTAATCCATTATGTCAACCTCACAGTCATGAGCAATATCAGGCAGATTCCTCCGCAGCCTGGTCTTTCAATCCAGTGATTTAGATGGGTGACTGTGTGGGTTTCCTGTTCTCCATACTCCCATGTCACAAACCAGCATATACTCCACAGGGTCTCGGGCAGGCTGAAGACTCCCTGCATCATGTGGACGGCCAGATGTGTCGAGTGTCAGAGGCATGTTGTGCTAGAGAAATTTGACGGCCTGTGTGTCACGACACAGCACACCTGTAACCATCATTAAAATGATCTGCCATTTATACGACAGTAACACTTCTGTTGGTTCATACCAGACAGGAAAGCCTTTCTTCAAACCTCAGATCGATGAGTCTTGGCCAGCCAACACCCAGTCAGCAGTTAATGGTTTTTCCCTCCTCAGAACAGTCTCAGTAGGTACTCACCACGGCTGATCGTAAGCACCCCACAAGCCTCGCTGTTTCAGAAATGCTCTGACCCAGTCATCTGGCCATAATGATGTCAAATGTCAAAGTCGCTCAGATCTTTATCCCTGCCTATTTCTCCTGCAATCATCTTGTCCACTAAAAGTATCGAAAGTTAGCAAACCGTCTAATATATCCCAGACCTCGACACGCACCATTTTAATGGGATAGTCAATAATATAAGTTTCAACTGAGGATGATCATACCGTTTCTAGTCAGTCGTGTAGAGATATACTGGAGCTTCTGGTCAGACTTTTATCTGATCATTATTCTGCTGATCTAGTTAACGGCCTTTCTCAAGGGCCCAACGTACATGTCAGTATTCTGCCAAGGACAGGATTGAAAACCAACAATCTTCCAGTCAGCTAATACACTGAGGCCCAAGCTGAACTCGCCTCACAAGTTATGAAGTAACAGGGTTCCTGTTTCTGCTAACGTCAGTCTCCGGGCCTCCTACAAACCTGCACTGACGAGCGACAATGGAAGAAGGAGGGCGGGGCCCTGCTTTCTTTGCTGTGTCCCTCAGTCATATTAAAAAAGGCTGCGTAAAACATTGAGCATTATGTTTAAATCCAGCCAAACTAAATATCTGTAGTAAATGTTTACATTACTGTTTAACTGATTATGTGTGTGTATATGTGCTCTGTGATATATTTGACACTGCAAGTAAAATTGTAGATGACTGCTTAAATGACGAATTATTGATAATAGATGTCCGGGAATAAACTTGTCTTTTATGCATTGTGGCATCACATTCTGCTTGCAGTTTAAAATTGAGATGAAAATTGGTTTGGAGGCTAAGTTTATAAATTGATGTCAGGTTTTATTGCTTGGCACAGACATAGTCTCTTTTTTTATGAGGAGGTCAAGTTCAGGAGACCAAATACCATTTTTTCCCCAAGGTAGAACTGCTTTAATTTAACTTATAAATGACATGGAAAGATTTTTTTGAGATTTTTTTTTGTTCTTAGTATTTGAATTTTAGAACCTGAGGGTTTTTTTTGACAAAAAAAAACCCTTTATAATCCTGGTATCATATTGCTGGCATGATATGGTTCATTTAAGGAACACTCAAAATAGCAGAAATCACATGAGAAAAGCTCTGGGGTTTGAAAGGTTAACGAGCATTTAAAGTGTCACTATGTTTGGTGTTTTCAGGTACTATGGCTTACTACAGATCCAGAAGCAGAACAAACTTCAGCCTGTTATATTTGCTTGGATAATTCGGGTTCACCTCTTGTTGCTTGTTACCCATATCATTGCTACTCTTTGCAGAATTGCGATGCTCTCTGGGAAGACTTTCATCAGAAGCTGGTGGACTCATCGCTTATCACCTTGGACACGTACCTGGGACAGTTTCCTGACATCAAAGTACTGCTTCAACCACACCCAGTGCTGAAAGTGGCCATACTTCACACTAGAATGGCTTGATTTCCAATATATTCCTGCATTTGTGCCAGCCTGCCAAACCACTACCTAGCTGACCTATTTTCAACAAACATATTGGCCCTTTGAAGCCTGAATTATTTTTGCATAATGGAGTGGAATCCTTAAAAAGTCTCTGGAGGTTCGCAATCAAAGAGAATAATATTACTGTATGTGCCATTTGTACAAGGTGCACGGGAATTCTTTGGTTTTAACATCCTCCATCGTCTCCTCCATGTGAGTTTTTGGGGTTGAAGCACAGGGGCAACCAGCCTGCAGTAGCCCTGCAATAACTAGGGCTAAGGACATAGCTCAGGGTTATTTATTTTATAGGCATTTATTTAGCAGAGGTGTTTGTCAAAGTGACATACAAGCACGGGTCAGAGAGCACTCTGTCATCCACAGGATTTGAACCAGTAACATGGTAATCATAAGATCAGGGTTCAAACTCACAACCTTCTATCCTTAACCCATTGAATTACACAGTATAAGGCAGGGTTTCTCATCCCAGTCCTTGGGGGCCACTAGATGGTCCACATTTTTGCTCTCTCCCAATTGCCAAATGTTATTGTTATTTAAAAGTTTAAAATGTTATTTACATTTTTGAAACTGTTCTTTGTTTGGGGAAATTGTGCCTGTTCCACCATAACTGACCACCGCACAAATGAACTCAGTCACAATGTCTGACCCGTGGTTCCCTGCCGCCTTGGCTAACATCTATATGTCACTTTCAGTCTTTATATACTCACGCGGCGGCTCAGTGGCTGGCGCTGTTCCTCATGCCTGTAGGGTGTGGGGTTTGAATCCTGCCTGTTGCCTGTATGTTGCATGTTTTTTTCCCCAAGTTCCTCCTCCAGTCCAAAGATGTACAATTAGGCCAGTTGACGTGCCTAAACTGGCAAGTGTAGTATCACCTGTGCATATATGTGCCCTGTAATGGCATCTTCTTTTAAAGCACGTGTTTTTCTTCTGAAAATGACAGACTTGTACTGCAGGGTAACAATACTTTTCATGGCCCTCTTTTCCTGCCTATTACATTGTGCTTCAGTATCAAGCCACGGGAGGCTAACAGCTTTTCTTTCATTAGACCCGCATTGCGAAAAGAAGCCGGAAGTTAATCGATTATGACTCCGCTAGACACCACCTGGAGACGCTACAAGCGTCGAACATAAAAAACGAGAGGAAAATCTCAAAGGTAAAACTCTTTCCTGGAAAAGCCAAGTTACTGCTGGAAATATACTGCTGATAAAAGATTAATATGTTTACTGAATGAATATGTCAGATTTCTGTTTGTCTGTGATGTTCCGCATGACAGGATTTACAGTTCAGCTTCCAGGCAATCTGTGCTGCTTTGAAAAAATCTACATGGAGAAAAAAACATAAAAATTTGCTCACACTATACTTGCTGTTGTTGCTTTTGGCTGTTCTTATTAGCAGTTTATTATTTTAGACTTTGGGACAGCTTTGTTAAGAAGGGTGTCCGTTTCCTGCTTGGGGTCAGTGATCAGTGAGTAAAATTGATCTGAATTCAGAGTTGTGTTCAGTTTTCCCAGAATTCCACGGTGGTAGTTTTTATTAACACTGTGCACTGGTGCAAAGTGACACTGGTGTTTACTCTCTCACCCTTGATACCAGATCTGGGCCCCATTACAAAATGCCGTCTGGAGCCCCCCACTTTCAATATAAAGAAATATGTGTCCCATGGCAGATAGAATTTTCCTGTGGTGAGATGGACTGTGAGGTAGATTTTGCGTTTAGACAAATTATGCGTTATTTTATTTCATTGTTTGTTTGTTTCGTTGTCTATTTATTTATTCATTTATCTCTCAATGATAAAGAATTACAGAACTTCGGCCTGCAGGATATGATGGACTGTGTAAGGAGGCATGGATGGTTACGGTCAGCAGTTTTTGTGTGTTTGTGCCACTGATCTCCGCTTGCAGGCAGAAGAGGAGTTTAACAAAGCACAGAAGGTCTTCAGTGACCTAAACATAGGCCTGCAGGAAGAGCTGCCCTCACTGTGGGACAGGTAACTTCAAACAGCCTTAAAAAGATAAATCTTGATTTTATTTGATATTCCAACAGCATTTTATGTGTACCATTGTGACCAGCCTCATAGGGATTTTAACAAATATCATCTGAAAACTTTGTATCTTATTGTCTAAATTTTAATATTCAAATAGTTATATAAATGAAAGTTTTTACCACAAGACATTCCAAATTTACAGCAACATCTGCTCATCCTTTTTGGTTGAAAAAGTTTTTGGTTGGGGGGAAAGATGGAATCGGCGAAAGGAAAATAATACAGTGAGTGGGGATGAGAGAGAATTCTCTAAACCAAATGAAACATGTTGCTGCGTGGCCATGAGGTTTCAGCAAACGGGTGAATGCAAAAGCCTGAATATCCTGGCATACGGTGTGTTTCTCACAAAGTGCGTACATAGGTTAGACCAGTGGGTACCTTGGCTGGTTTGTTGTTCTTGGAATGCAGCACTGATTGCAGCACTTAAAGGTTAGGCACTCTGTGAGCTGTTACTCTCTCCCCTCTCCTTTATGAACACCTTGCATCTCCATGCCAACCTAGTTGTGCCATGCTGACCTGCCGCACTGTTTCACATCCCAAACCCAGAAAGTAGCCTACCAGCCGGGACATTTTAATAAACAATTCTACAGTCTAACTGAGCTCTACATAGAGAAGATCCTCTCATGACTGATTTACCATAATAATGGATTATCATACTCATGATTAGTTAATCATCACATTCTTTATTATACCCCTCGAAGGAGAGGCCTTTGTTTGTCGGTTGCCATGGTTGCATGACAATCATGCACGACAAGAACTTGGCTCAAGCTGCCTTCCATTTTCTGTTATTATCATGATGCATGTGACTCTTTTGAATGTAATGTCGTTTGTGTTGTGCTGAAGCAAGAACATGTGGACAATCATTGAATTTTGGTTCAGATGTTCAATGTAATGCTTCTGTGAAAATCCTACAGGTTGCTCCATAGACCTGCTAGAATGATACTGGAGCTAACTTCTGCTACTTGGTGTTATTTATGTACTTGTATTGATGGAGGATGGCTGCCATCTCCCTTATGTTTTCAAAAGCTTGATGTCCTGCCACTTGGCGATTACCCATATCCCAGGTGAATGGCTCTCTGGAAAATCACTAATACTAGGATTTTGGAGTCTCTTTTAAGGTCCCCTACTATCTATCTTTGGAGGGTCCCAACGGAGGTTGTCTTTCGTATTCTGGTACACATGCCACATTTCCCCAACTTTCATCCTCTCTGCAATCTTCCAGCAAGGAGACCTGTGGTCACAGTTCTGGAAGTCATGGCTCCATCAAGTTCTCCATCAAGAGCCCTGCACATGTTTGGGTTTCCCCTCATTTAACACACCTGATTCAACTCCTTGCGCTAATTACTACATCGCTCTTGAGCTGAATCATTTGTGGTGGACCAGGGAAAGAACTAAGCTACACAGGGCTCCGGCCCCCCAGGACTGCAGTTTGACACCCCTGCCCAAGAGCCTCATGCTTTGGGTCCCGCCAGGGCCTCAGTATTTGGGCTCTAGAGGTCACAGTTCTGGAGGATATGGGTCCATCAATTCCCCCTAGGGCCTTAGCCTATGGGTTTCCTTAGATTCTCAAGGTCAGCCAAAGCCTAGTTATGGGGCTACTTCACCCAAGGATGGAGACTAGTCTAAATCACCCTATAGGGCTGTTTGTCATATCAAGCCATATTAAAATTAAGGGATAATTGCATAGTAATGGTAAAGTAAAAGTTCCATAATGAAATCTTTCTCCTTTCAATTTTCTCACAGCCGAGTGGGATTCTACGTGAACACATTCAAAAATGTGACGAACCTGGAGTGCAAATTCCACAAAGAAATCACTGTGGTGAGTATAAGAGTGTTTGCTTTTCCTTCCTGATGATGACTGATTTTCCACCCTGAAAATCTGCTTAAATGATTGCTAATGGTTATAAATAACAATCAGTCTAGCAATCAGTCATCATTATTGTATATCTGATCAAAATGCTCCACATTGTGCTTTGGTCTTTTCTTGTATTTCATAGTTCGATCTTTAGATGCACTTAATCCCTGCTGGTGGACCATCATATCTGAATAATTGTGTTGGACTGCTTGACCACCTTGAATTTACACCTGACTATAATCTTCAGTTAGCTGTCCAGCAGCAAATGTGGAACCATAAACTACAACGATTGGCTGCCCACATGTACTGTAAATCTGCAGGTGACTATGAGAATTCATGTAAGCCTTGGTGGCCAAAATCTTGACCATGGAGGAACCATAAGAAACGTCTTCTCTCCCCATGTTAAATTTCACTCATTCTGTCCACAGCTGAGAGCAGCAGCCATGAGCATTTTGCCTTCTTAAGGCCTGTGCCAGAATCACAGACAGAATACAGGCATGAAAAACTGTGCTGCCAAAAATGTACACATACTGTAGCTCTTTCTCAGTTATTTCATTGTGGTCCGAAAGGCTTCAGTGTATCCCAAGTAGCCACCACAAAAGAGGCTTTTATCTATAATGCGCTGATGCTTGTTTCTGCTGTGCCTTAATCATAACAGGTAGGTTATGACATTTATTTATAGACACTATTATTCAAAGTAACATACAACTGTGAAAGCAGAGTCAGCCAATCCCTGGAGATATTGATGGATATGAGCCTTGTTCAGGGTCCCAATGGTGACATTGGTCTTCCAGCCTTGAGATTTGAACTGGCAACATTCTGTCGATGGGCACAGAAGCCTAACCTGTTGAGTATGGAGCACCGAGTGTGAAGCACTCATTTTCATGTACAAAATACACAATTCTGTGCCACAAAAAAAATCATTATTTCATGAAATCAAGTAAAGCAAAAATACTTTACTTTCTTTCATTCACAGAACTCAAAAGGAATGTTTCATTTTGTGCACAGAATTGATATCAGCACTTTAAATTTCTTGGACAGAAAAAAAGTCATTTTGTGGTCGAAATGCATTTCATGAATGAAAGAAAGTAATTTTGTGGACAAATTGCATTTTGTGAATGATACACAATCATTCCGTGGACAAATCGCATTTTGTGAATGATGGACAATCATTTCATTGACGAATTTGATTCTGTGGAATCACAAAATGCATTTTGTCTTTTGCTGAGTTACAAAAGGCACCACAAAATGCATTTCGTCTTTTGCTGAGTCACAAAATGCCGTTTGTCTTTGGCTGAGTCAGGAGAGGTATGTAGTACTGTAGGCGTGCGACCGTGGAGGGAGGGGGATCGGTGACCCCAAAGCGTTAAACACAAGGATAACATATAACCATGCATTAAGAGTAAATATTATCAGCATGGGCTTATTTAATAAAATGTTGTGTTTCAGTCTCACACCTGAATCTGAAAACCTCCAACTTTATTTCAATTTTGATCTCGAAATGTTTTATAATGTCTCCTTTAGGATGCCCTAGCGCTGTTCCGTAATGCCTAGTCTCTAAGCGCTTTCTAGTGAAATGTTGGCTGTCTTCAGTAACACAGTGGTATTTCTTTCTGTCCTATGTGTAAATCCCACCCATCCCTCTTTGACTCTTACTGGATTGGCTAGCTGTGCCGCCAGCTGTACGAGGTCATGATGAAGCTGGGCGAACAGCATGCAGACAAAGCCTTCACAATCCAGGGAGCTCCCAGGTATGGCCAGCAAAGTACCTCTGTATTGTTTGCATTAACTTCTGAAGCCGTTGGCTCATATCAGTGGAGATGAACCAGAGGAGCAATGAAATAAAGTCTCCAGCATGACTGATGTATGAGAACAGCATTTACTGAGCCAATTTAAAAAAATAGATTCCCTGCTTATAAATGTAAACCATCTTCATCATTGACATTCTGCCTTTCATATGGACAAATCATTGAAATCACTTTATTTGTCACAACGTTTGATACTTGACAAGTGCAGCTCAATGAAAAATGTCTCACCGCAGCATTAATGAAGTGCAAATAAACAAAAGATAAAATAAGACAATAGTGCAATAGTAAGTGTGCAGGGGATGCCAATACACAGCACTGTAGTAACGAATAGTGTGCAAATGGAGATGTAAATAAAATAAATACAAAGAATGGCCGTATGAATACAGTGGTACCTCAGAACTCGAAATTAATCCGTTCAGAACTCCGGACCGAATCCTAAAAAGTTCGAGTTCTGATCAAATTTTCCCCATAAGAAATAATGGAAAACCAATTAATTGGTTCCTGGCCCCAAAAAATTGCACTGAAAAATGTTTTTTTTAGCATTTAAATGCAAAATGAACCGGACAAAACAAGAAAAGCATATACTGTACTAAACACATCTAAGCACATTTATCAAAACAGTATTTTTTTATTTTTTTTAATAAACCTAATTATTTTTTTTGATATTTAACAACAACAGGAAAAAAAAAAAAAAAAAACAGAGCCAAATCAATATACAGTCGACACCTACAGCAATCATTTAAAAACAAACAGTAATCTATTAAAACACCTAAGGGCAAAACAGTTCAGTAAAAGAAAGCATAAAAGAAAGAAAGAGTCATGATTGCTCAAGTAGATCCCACAAAGGGGCCCATATCCGCCAGAATAGCTCAGTCGTATATAAGTTTTTCCAATGGGAGAAGGTTACCCACTTGTGCCAAACACATCTTTAAAGTTGGTACACAAGATGATGACCATAAGATAAGTATACATTTCTTTGCCAGATAAGTAATGAAATTTAGTAAACAATTTAAATCAGAAGAGAGATCTAGTGATATTTTACAATTTAACAGGTATATAATTGGAGACATAATAAATTTTCTAGCCAGTATTTTCTCATCCAGATCATGCACTTCATACCAAAAAAATTTAATTTTCTTACACTCCCAGACTAGATGCATCAATGTTCCCGTTTTTGAATTACATTTAAAACACAACTGAGATACATTTGGGTACATTTTGTGGAGGTGTACAGGGGTGAGATATGTTCTATTTATGAATTTCAAGTTTTGCTCATGTACAGAAACTGAGGTCGATTTATGAAAAACCTCCTCACATATAGAGAGCCATTCATCATCAGTAAATGATCGGCCCATATCCTTTTCCCATACCTTTCTTAATTAAAGGATTCAAAGGTGAAGAGGTTTCTGATAAAAGGGAGCCATACAGATAAGAAATCTGACCCTTCAATGTCCCTGGAAGGAGATGATTTTCAATATCAGACAATTCAAATAAATGTAAAGTTAAAAAAAACAATATGTCATGCCCTGATTGTCCGCTCCTTCCGTGTGCCACACCCCCTCGTTAACCCCGCGTGGAATCCCCGTGTGATCAGCTGTTTCTGGTTGTTGTCATTAGTCCTCTGTATTTTGTCTGCGTTTCAGTTTGTTTCCCCAGTCCGGTCACTGTATTGTCCGTCTGTGTTTTGCCTGCCTTACCTGTAATTATACCCTGTATTCCCCGATACCCTGACGTCTGTGCCTTTGTCTCCATTCTGTCCCCGCTGGACACAACAATCCTGGCCCTGCTCCCTGGGTGTGCAGTTTGCCACTTCTCCCTGTGCTTTTCCAGTTTCCTCTGAGGCTAGATGAGCAGTCGCAAAATGAATTGATGGGTATAGATATTTAACGTTGAAAAATGTGATCTTCATTATCACTGCAAAATGATTAAGGCCTTTTTATTATAGGACTAAAAGGAATAAAACCACAGGAATCTGTTTGCTGATGCAGTGAAGTTTAGTTTTTAGCCTTTGGCGTAGACTGAAACTTGATTTTGTCATTAGTGACTCTAATTAACAGTATTTCACTTACTATTCTGAGAGAATGAAGACGATTTTCTGCCAGATTTTCTCTCCTCTTCATTTCACAGCCTGTGTGCATCAGGGTGATAATTAATGTTGTGATTGTTATGGTCTCCCTGAACAGTAGCATATGCCCAAACCAACCGTGTTCCCAATGTCAAACTCTGATGAACTAATCTGCATAATGTCTAGTGTTTTGAGTAAAGACTGACCCCAACCACATTTAAAGACCAGATACAAGGACTGATGATGTAGTCATCTTATTAACTGAGGAACGTCACTGAAGTATGATTTTACTACTCTGGATTGAATAGTCAGCTCAGTAAATTAATGGTGAGTCAAGTTATTGTGGCTAACAGAGGCTGGATTGTAGTTCACAAATCAAATGTCTTAGTCAATGGGTTAGATGTGGTTTAAAAAAACAACTAAATGAGTCTTTTCATTATATAATTTATAGATGCTTTATTTTATATTTGTACAAGATAAAGTTCAGGTACACTGGAATTCGTTGACTTTCACATGCAGTACAGGTCAAAAGTCTGGACACATCTATTGAAAATCATTTATTTTTTCCACAAGATAACAACCCTAAGCACATCTTGAGGTTATATAAGTACTGTATTACCTTGCAAACAAAAAAAGAGATGAAGTTCTGTGACAGATGATCCAGCCCCCCATAATCCCCCAAAACCTTATAGAGCTGGTTTGGGATGACTTGGATGACTTGGATGACTTGGAGAGTAAGAGCAAGGTATCCTATTTGTGCCCAGAACCTGTGGAAACTCCTGTAATTCTATAAAACAAGGAGGCATAAATATATTTATAAGGCAGTTCTATGAGCCTTAAGTACTGGGGAATTAGCATCGCGGGTACATTAGTACATGTTTCTTATCTGGTTATCTACACATACTGACCATCATGCACTTCTGCGGATTCCTCAGTGACTCAGGTCCCCTTCGACTCGCCGGCACTCCCTCCCCCCCAGAAGAGTCCCCCCCCGGCAGCCCTGGCACTACCTCCGGTCAAATGTTGGCACCAATTTCCCCTGGGCCGCCTCAGCTGAAGTCACCCGGCCAGGTAATTTACGGTTTGGTGTATCTAATGATCCGAGTCAGGAGTCATGTTAGAGTTATTAATGCGGGACAAAGACTGCCTTGTTTATTCATAAACTTTTAATAAAAAAATTGTCCATTGGTGAAACTGTAAACCAGTCATTAGTTCGAAATTGCCTTCACCCATTCTTCAGTGGTGTTTTTTGCTCTGTAAACATTAAAAATATTTTGAAAATCCTTCATTTTATTTTTGTTACTTGCAGCAATTTCTTTGTTTTTATGGTTTCCATTAATTTAAATGGTGTTTTATGCCTGGAATATCAAGTAACATTAGAACTAAAGATTATAATAACGCAATGATTTACTACTGAGTGCAAGGCTCGCACTATATGTATGGTTAAAGGAAATTAACTGACACCCTTCTGACCAAACAGACTGGAAGATTCAACAGTGCTGTGGCGTAACTCAATATAACAAGCCATATTAGCATAAAAGCGTGTGTGTTGAAGGATTCTGTGGGTGTGGGACTTGGACATCCAGCTCCACCTGACTGCACCACCTGTACTGTTCTCGTTCTCACAGTTGAGGAAGGGGCCCCCAGTTCCTCCACCCCCGAAACTGACACCCACCAAAGAGATGCAGCAGGAGCAAATAATCAACCTGTTTGATGACAACTTTGTCCCGGAGATCAGTGTCAGCGCTCCACCACAGGTCAGGGCTGTGTCACATGCTCATGGCTGTACATACAAGAAGCAGAGGGGGAAATTGTCCGTCTATCCATCCATCCATCCACCTTCCAGCAGGGGGAAATGAGATGGTAGTACATTGCAATGGAAGACGTTTGGCATATTTCCTCCAGGGATCAGTTTTCTATACATAACTGTCTTATGCAGGGTTTTGGGGGTCAGGAGCCTGTCCTGCGAGCTACGGCCACAAGGAAGGAAATAATCCAGGATGGAGCCAAACCCACCGCAGGACACACTCACACAGCATTCACACTCATGGCCACACCTACGGATAATTTGGGAAAGCCACAGATGACGCACGAAGGGCAGCAGACAACCTAAAAAGTTTAGTGACTTATAAATGCATAAAATATATGTTGGTTTGGAAAATGGCAAGTGTACAGCAACCTCTCACCTGATATCTTTCAATGATTTTTGTATCTCGTACACGGGTTGGACAATGAATTTGAAACACTGGCCAAAATAGTATTTCACGCCTATATTTGCAAGGCCTGGGGGCCAGTCTTCACTCATTGAACATTCCATCAGTAAGAGCAGAGTGTGAAGGTTGAATAAGCAGAGCAATAGCACAGCTGTACATAAAATATTGCAATGCACACAACATAATGGGAGACATATTAGAGTTCATAAGTAGACAAATTGTCGGTGTGCTTCTCACTTGCGCATTTGTGACCAGGACAGCAAGACTTTGTGGTGTATTGAGAGGACCACATCCAACAGGAGTAACTGTGGATGCAAGAGGAAATAGTCTGAAAGGGATGTCCGAGTGCTAACCCGGATTGTGTCCGAAAAACATAAAACCAAAACTGCCCAACTCACAGCAGAATTTAATGGCACCTCGATTCTTATGTTCAGTAAATAAATATACAAATGATGTCACATCCGTCATCTTGCTGATACTTGAGGTGCAGTGTTATGGCAGCAGCCACTACTTCTTGCTGGGGACTGAAGAGGGACCGAACTGGTCAGTTACAGTTGAACAGCAGAGGAACATTAGGCTGGTGCATTTGCATTTGCGTTAAAGGATAATCACAGGAAACGATTCAATTACAGGGTTCTCCGAATGACATGCAGATCTCTAGCAAACCCTTCTCCAACTGTGCGAGGATTTTCATTTTCCGCCGCAGCTGTTTCAGAGGCATTATTACATGGTTTGTTGGTGCCAAGTTGCTTTGTGCCACAGTGCCTGTCTTGGAAAATCATAGAGCCTTTCAATCAAGGCCATTAAATTGCTCATTGCACCCCACGCTCATCTTAACTGCATCACTTTCTGTTGCTGAGTTTTCGGACCATGTGGCACCAGCTGTATTGATCTCTTTCTGCATTATGATAGAAGAACAACCTCCATGGAGCAGCATTACATCTCAGTGCTGGATAAAGGCCTGACCTCAGAGAAGCAGGTGCTTCCATGGTGGTGCCAATCACATTCCTGCCCAAAATGCACTTCACTGAATTATAATGAGAGTTGGGGTCCATTTATCTAACCTGCTGCGTGAAAAAATGCCCATTGAATATTATTTTAAAATCTGAGGCAGAAGTCGCTGAGGTGGTTAAAAAGCTCCTCGGTGGCCGAGCCCCAGGGGTGGATGAGATCCGCCCGGAGGTCCTCAAGGCTCTGGATGTTGCGGGGCTGTCTTGGTTGACATGCATTTGCGGTATCGCGTGGACATCGGGGGCGGTGCCTCTGGATTGGCAGACCGAGGTGGTGGTTCCCATCTTCAAGAAGGGGGACCAGGAGGTGTGCTCCAACTATAGGGGGATCACACTCCTCAACCTCCCTGGTAAGGTCTTTTCGGGGGTGCTGGAGAGGAGGGTCCGTCGGATAATCGAACCTTCGTCAGATCATGACCTTCAGCTCACACTGGAACAGTTCGCAGCGGAGTGTGAAGCAGGTGGAATGAAAATCAGCACCTCCAAATCCGAGACCATGGTCCTCAGCCGGAAAAGGGTGGAGTGCTCTCTCCAGGTCGGGGAGGGGGTCCTTCCTCAAGTGGAGGAGCTTAAGTATCTCAGGGTCTTGTTCACGAGTGAGGGAAGGATGGAGCGGGAGATCAACAGGCGGATCGGTGCGGCGTCAGCAGTGATGCGGGCGCTGCATCGGTCTGTCGTGGTAAAGAAGGAGCTGAGCCAAAAGGCAAAGCTCTCGATTTACCAGTCGATCTACGTTCCTACCCTCACCTATGGTCACGAGCTGTGGCTAGTGACCGAAAGAACGAGATCGCAAGTGCAAGCGGCCGAAATCAGTTTTCTCCGCAGAGTGGCTGGGCTCTCCCTTAGAGATAAGGTGAGGAGCTCAGTCATTCGGGAAGGACTCAGAGTAGAGCCGCTGCTCCTCCGCATTGAGAGGAGCCAGATGAGGTGGCTCGGGCATCTGGTTAGGATGCCTCCTGGTCGCCTCCCTGGTGATGTGTTCCGGGCATGTCCCACCGGGAGGAGGCCCCAGGGAAGACCCAGGACACGCTGGAGGGACTATGTCTCTCGGCTGGCCTGGGAACGTCTCAGGATTCCCCCAGAGGAGCTGGAGGAAGTGGCCGGAGAGAGGGAAGTCTGGGTTTCCCTGCTGAGACTGCTGCCCCCGCGACCCGACCTCGGATAAGTGGAAGTAAATGGATGGATGGATAGATTGATAAAANTGACCTTCGGCTCTCACTGGAACAGTTCGCAGCCGAGTGTGAAGCGACTGGAATGAAAATCAGCACCTCCAAATCCAAGACCATGGTCCTCAGCCGGAAAAGGGTGGACTTTTCTCTCCGGGTCGGGGAGGGGGTCCTTCCTCAAGTGGACCAAGTAGACCTCTTGTTCACGAGTGAGGGAAGGATGGAGCGGGAGATCGACAGGCGGATCGGTGCTGTGCCAGCAGTGATGCGGACGCTACATCGGTCTGTCATGGTGAAGAAGGAGCTGAGCCAAAAGGCAAAGCTCTCGATTTACCAGTCGATCAACGTTCCTACCCTCACCTATGGTCACGAGCTGTGGGTAGTGACCAAAAGAACAAGATCGCAAGTGCAAGCGGCCAAAATGAGTTTTCTCCACAGAGTGGCTGGGCTCTCCCTTAGAGATAGGGTGAGGAGCTCGGTCTTTCTAGAGGGACTCAGAGTAGAGCCGCTGTTCCTCCACATTGAGAGGAGCCAGATGAGGTGGCTCGGGCATCTGCTTATGATGCCTCCTGGACGCCTCCCTGGTGAGGTGTTCCGGGCAAGCCCCACTGGGAGGAGGCCCCGGGGAAGACCCAGGACACGCTGGAGGGACTATGTCTCTCGGCTGGCCTGGGACCGTCTCGGGATTCCCCCAGAGGAGCTGGAGGAAGTAGCCGGAGAGCGGGAAGTCTGGGTTTCCCTACTGAGACTGCTGCCCCCGCGACCCGACCTCGGATAAGTGGAAGTAAATGGATGGATGGATAGATCGATAAAAAAGACAGGTTTATGTGGCAGGTGGTTCTGTTGTAGGGCATCGGCCCCTATAAGGGATACGACTCCATCAGCTTGGGAATTTCACCCAAAGAAGTATTTACACCAAACCGGTGCCAATAACCCAAAAGGCAATCAGGTTCCATCCGCTAATAATCATTCAGAAACAACCAAAGAACACAAAGAGAATCAATCACAAACCATACCTAAAAGTCTCCAGAGCTGAGGCTTAATGGAGAGGTGGGCTAGCTAAAAGGGAGCTAAAAGGGAGATAACTCAGGAAGAGAGACACCCCGAAACACCCATGTAGACGCATCCACACACAGTGGCCAAAGACCAAGACCAGTGGTGCACGTATAGGGATGGCACACAATAAGAGAGGGACCAGCCCCCCTCCACTTTGGGCTCTCAGCTTAGAAAAACAGCACAGTAATACAGTTAGGAGGATGTGTAATAAACAAAACAAAGGCGCCATAAAAAGGCAAAGCCACCGCGATACAGGCAAATCCACCGCGATACAAGCAAATCCACCGCGATACAGGCAAAGCCACCACAGTACAGGCAAATCCAACGCGATACAGGTTAATTAAGCAGCGGCTACTGTAGCAGCCAGGTGCCCTGTATTGTCTGGGATGGCTCCAGGCTTCTGGTGACCCTGACCAGAGTAAGCAGTTGAAGATGGATGGAGTTTCAGATATAATCATTTGAAGGTATACTGTTGCTTGTCTTTTTTGTCACTATTCATCTTTCAGTCAGAAAAAATTTTCAGGATTTTTAGGAAGGCACATTTTAGACTCCACTGCTATGATTATTAAAACTAAATTTGTTTTAATAATACATATTACATGTGGCTTAATTTACTCTCTTATTCACTTTGGGGTATGTAAATAAAAGCTCAGACCCAATATATTCAGCGTGCTGTTGGCACCAGGCTTGCAGGTCATTGATGTTGGTGCCTCGGAGGCACAGATGTAAAACCACCATCCATAGGCACCATTGCTCAAGGGTAATTTGTCCTCACAACAGTCCTGCTGCCCGATATCGGAATAATCGTATTAACATCCACCGCAACATGGCTGAAGCTGTTTTAGTCAGTGCATTAAGTAAACATTAGGGTTTGTGAGTTCTTATATTTTGAACAACATGCTTCATTTTGGTGATTCAGTATATAAATGTCTATATATCTCCATTAGAGTCAAACAAGTGGCATAAATAGGGTCATAGTTCATCCAGAGGGGCACACCTTATCATTAGCCAATGATTTGTTTGAAATTGGTGAGTGACTGACAAGGGTGCACTCCAGGGACCAATCAGCTGAGGCCAATGCCACTGTGGCCCTGCCCCTGTAATGGAGGTTCTTGGCCAGCTCTTGTCAGGTATCTGAGCCTTTAATGTTTAACACACGCCTTCAGTGTTGTGACGCGTAGAGTAATGGCCCAGGTGGACTCCCGCCCCTGTAAAGACGAAACAGCCAGCACTGGCATTTCCATATCGAGCAGGATGGTTGGCTCCCTCATCTCTGCCTAACCCTCATTGTTTGTGCTGTATTCGCATGACGGACTGTGGCTGCTTCTTCTAAGCCGGCACTGAAGCTGACGACTGCCCCTGGGCGGAGCTTAGCAGCTGCTGATGGGCCAAACAGCAGTTTATCTCTCCGCATGATCCAGTGGGAAGACCGACATCTATCATGTTGCCACCCTGTACGGCATTCACTATAAGAAAAGCATTAGTGTGGCATCCTAGCTTGAAATCTGCCCTAGTTCCGTTCAGCAGTTCTTCAGTATCAGTTCCAAATTTTATTGTCACATGTTTTCTGAGGAACACAGTGCAAGGCTTGTGCCACAGTCACAGGGGATACAGAATGGTATGAAGCAAGCAAGAAAGGAAGTGAAGTAGGAAGGAGACAAAGGAGGAGAGGAACCAGAAAATCCAAGTGGACAGTAAAAAAGCTCTGGGGGTCCATGGTCGATTGGCTGCCCAACACCCCCAAGGCATGTTAACATTATAGAGAAAATAAAGAATGGGCCTGATTTAATAAAAGCAAGGTGTACAGCCGTGGCCAAGATTTTGAGAATGACAGGAATATTAATTTTCACTAAGTCTGCTGCCTCAGTTTTTATGATGGCAATTTGCATATACTCCAGAATGTTATGAAGAGTGATCAGATGAATTGCAATTAATTGCAAAGTTCCTCTTTGCCATGAAAATGAACTTAATCCCAAAAAACCAATTTCCACTGCATTTCAGCCCTGCCACAAAAGGACCTGCTGACATTATTTCAGTGATTTTCTCAATAACACAGGCAAGAGTGTTGCGAGAGAGGACAAGGCTGGAGATCACTCTGTCATGCTGATTGAGCTAGAATAGTAGACTGGGATGCTTTGAAAGGAGGGTGGTGCTTGAAATCATTGTTCTTCCTCTGTTAACCATGGTTACCTGCAAGGAAACACATGCAGTCATCATTGCTTTGCACAAACTGAGCTTCACAGGCAAGGATATTGCTGCTAGATTGCACCTAAATCAACCATTTATCGGATCATCAAGAACTTCAAGGACAGAGGTTCTGAGGTGTTGTTGTGAAAAAGGCTTCAGGGCTCCCAAGAAATTCCAGCAAGCACCAGGAAGTTGATTCAGCTGTGGGTTTGGGGCACCACCAGTGCAGAGCTCGCTCAGGAATGGCAGCAGGCAGGTGTGAGTGCATCTGCACACACAGTGAGTTGAAGACTTTTGGAGGATGGCCAGGTGTCAAAAAGAGCAGCAAAGAAGCCACTTCTCTCCAAGAAAAACATCAGGGACAGACTGATATTCTGTCTAAAGTCATTTTCTCTGATGAATCCCCTTTCCGATTGTTTGGGGCATCATGGAAAAAAGATTGTCCTGAGAAGAAAAGGTGAGCTCTACCATCAGTCCTGTGTCATGCCAACACTAAAGCATCCTGAGACCATTCATGTGTGAGGTTGATCTCAGCCAAGGGAGTGGGCTCACTCACAATTTTGCCTAAGAACACAGCCATGAATAAAGAATGGTATCAAAACATCCTCCAAGAGCAACTTCTCCCAACCATCCAAGAACAGTCTGGTGATGAACAATGCCAGCGTGATGGAGCATGCTGCCATAAGGCTCAGGGCTCAGAGAACAAAACATTGACATTTTGGGTCTATGGCCAGGAAACTCCCTAGACTTTGATCCCATTGAGAACTTGTGGTTAATCCTCAAGAGGCGGGTGGACAAACAATAACCCGCAAATTCTGACAAATTCCAAGCATTGATTATGCAAGAATGGGCTGCCATCAGTCAGGATTTGGCCCAGAAGTTGATTGACAGCATGCCAGGGCGAACTTCAGAGGTCTTGAAAAATCAGGGCCAACACTGCAAATATTGACTCTTTGCATTAATGTAATTGTCAATAAAAGCCTTTGACACTTATGAAACGCTTGTAATTATACTTCAGTATATCATAGAAACATCTGACAAAAAGATCTACAAACACTGAAGCAGCAAACTTTGTGAAAACCAATACTTGTGTCATTCTCAAAACCTTTGGCCAGACTGTAAACTGAGGTCATGGTCAAAGTCATGGTCTTTTCACTATGGATAAACTGCTAGTTAAATGACTGTAACATCTGCCCTTTGACTCCCCAACATAGACACATCTGCACATCTGCAACACTGCGAAAAGATACTGACAAATTAACTTGCAAAGGTAATTACAAAAGTACGAAACACCTTTACAGAGGGATCGCATGTTAGTCATGGTGGGAAAACAAGGAACAATAATCAAATCAGTTTCCATCTTTTGCACTATATGTTGTTTTTAGAGATAATTTGTGGATTGATTTGCTTTTTTTCTGTAGGAATAGTTCAGTCAAAGGGGGTATGTGGCTGGGAAGGTTTAGATGCCATGCCTGTGATCGATCGGAAGGTCACCGTGTTTAAATCCCTGGGTCGGCAAAGTGATTTTGCCATTGGGCCGTTGAACAAGGCCCTTAACCTCAGTTGCTCCAGGGAGTATCTGACCCTGCTTTCTTAATTGTGCTTGCTACCTAATTGTGATTTAGGGGTTGAAAGCCAGGTGTGTCTTCCCACAGAATGAAAAGGTCTCAGAGTCTCTCCTGGATCTGGACTTCGATCCCTTCAAGCCAGACGCCTGCTCATCCATTGGACAGTCGCAGTCCCCAATGTCACAGGTCTTCCTCACTTTTTACATTTCTTTTATTCCCTGGAAGATAAAATGGTTTTCAGATATCTAGGTGTCTGTAGGACCAAAACCAATGTATGAACTCTACATCCTTGAAGGAGACATACAAGTCAGCTTCATGGACTATTTCACCTTTCATAAGACAATCATTTAAGAAGAAAGAGAATGTTCATGCTGACAGTTTTGGCACATTTCTATATAAGCACCTACATCATAGAGTACAACAATAGAAAAACTATATATTTCAGTATGCACAATTTATGGATATCATTTTTTTGTTGATTGTTTCAACCTGACTTGACTCTGCACCTCTAATCTTTGTTTTTTCTACAAATACTGTACATGTCGCACTGTCCACGTGTTATACCGTGTCTCATTCTTATTGGTCATGTATGCATCAAGTGATTCTGTCCCTGTGTTATGTTGTGTCTCATTTTTATTGGTCATGTGTGTCATGTGATGCTGTCCACATGTCTTATACAGTACCATGTTTATTTCTGACAGATGCTGCCCTGGGATCTGTGGACGGTAAGATTCTGGCTACCCAGTGATGTCTCTGGCTTCTTTGCCTGATGTACTTAATCAAATCGCTTATATTGTTGCACTTAATCAAAGTGTTTTTCTGTACATAGGTAACTGTAATCTGCTGAGGCATATAGTCCTCTAAAAATGAATGAAAAGCTTAGAGAATGATTGTAGTTGAAGATATTTCTTGTAAACATGATTCTCTAGCCTAAACAGAACCAATAAAATCACAAAAATACACTCCACATTCAGCTGAATTGGTTAATGCAGGATGGAATGTCACTATTGTAGATAGAATGTCGCTTCTGTACTGTTATACATCAAATTTAAATAAAATATGAATGTTAAACTTGTTAGTGTAGTGTGGTGTTAATTTCTGTGATTCGCTATGTGCTAAATTTCTACTAAACTGTTGAATTTGTCTGTCTTCCAGGCAGATATTGTTCCCTCAGAGCCAGTAAGTAGAGACTGTGTAATACTACTACAGGGTAATCATTCGCTTACACATTTTAGAATTGAGTTTTTTTTCCACTTTGCTAAACCAGGTTGCCATGGTTAAAATGGGCCATACTTAGCATACTTGTGCAATACATATTCAATTTGTCTCTTTAGGGCAGGTAGATTTTCTATAATCATTAAGCATGTGTATTACTTTACATTACCATAGTAATGTGTGCCAAAATTAAATAAATAAATAAATGCATCAATAATTAATTAAATGTGTCATGACTGATTTAAAATGGGAAATAAAACAATTAATGAAATGTGTCATGAATTATTTAAAATGTGAAATAAAAACATTATTAATTTCAAAGTCAAAGTAAACTTTATTTTCATCTGTATTATATGCATGTACATAGAGAGATGTCATATATAATTATTCCACTCTTTATTTAAATTTGGCACTTTGGGCACATCATGAATTAATTTAATCTGTCATTCTGAGCCATAAAAATGAGTTGGTGGGACTTATGATCACCAGGAGTAAAATCGAGCAGGTCCAAGGAGCAAGGATGTGACTGTCGCTGCTGATGAGTCCCCTGGTAATGCAAACTTGGATACGGGTGACCAGGAGAGCTTGTCTGCCAGGCAGAACAATTTCAGTAGCATGAATCTTATGAGCAACATGGAACGTGTTGAAATCAGTTTTGTGCGGTTCTCAGTCTAAAGGCCAGTCTTCTTCCTTAGATCCAGTTCAGCAAGCCCTAGGAGATCCCTCAGATGCCAGACATTTTGATTTCTCCACAGTGGTCTCCTTTTGGGTGGCATGGGGTAAACCAGTGACATGAGTGTGATAATGCAGCACCTGATCATGATGCCCAAATGTTCAGCTTTGTCCTTGATTCATTCCTGGAGAATCAGAGAGGTGGAATGGGAGCTGGTTGGGCTACAGACCCTTTTGCAGACAGTGGGAGCCAGAAATGGCCAGAGAACTGCAAGGCAGGGGTGGGCAGTGGTGGCCGTAGGTCGTGTGACACCCCAGAAGAGCAGCTTAAGGGTTTAGCCCAAAGGTTTGCTCTGCCTGATTTAGCCTTTCATAGCGAGAGTAGTGAAAGCCTGTGGCAGGTGGCCAGTAACAGCAATGGCTTCTTCTCCAACGATGGCCGGGAGGAGACCAGCTGGGGAGACTGCTGCGATGCCAAAGCCGGATCTCTCTCTGTCCATGGCATCGTGAGAGGTGGGGAACCAAAGACCCCCATACACACGGCTAAAGAGCAGTCTGTCCAAAGCTCCCGGAGCACTGGCACTGAGAGTCACAGACAGGGGATATGGACAGTATAGGAAGGATAACTGAGGTACACACCTCTCCCCCTGAGTATAGCATGTAACAGAGAGCAATAACTGATCAAAGCTTCTTCTCAGAGTTGAGTCCCTTTGTCCCAATTCAGTTCTTTTTCTTTTTTCTTATTTTCCCCTTCCATGCCGTCTCTTGCAGTTCCCAACCTCCGTTTAACCTGCTTCTCCTCCTAATATTTTTTTGCATTCCACATTCCCCTTGGCCTTTAGTGTGAATGCTAAATGCTACATTTCCCCTTTGTGTTCATTGTAGGTATCCAGCAGTGCATTTGACGACTTTTCAAAGGTAAATGAAAGCCTAAGTCGACGGTGTCTGAGTTGTAATGTAGATGCCAATTAAATGGGGAAGAAGAACATATAAATAATACATGGTGCTCAAAGCAGTAGAGTTTGATTAAATATCATTCATCCATCCATCCCTCCATCCCACTCCCTTCCAGTTGCTAATCCAGCACCAGGTCATATCATCACACATACCCCCCTTTTTTCGCCAGATTCCACTCTCAATTCTCTCCAAGGTCGTTCAAGGAATTAGCGCCATGATGAGCGATTCAGGAAATAAGTTAGTCCTCAAGGCACAGTCTGGCAAATTTTAATAACCCTTCAGTTTACACTGATTTACACCCAAAGCATTTCGCCTGTGAATAACTGTACAAAAATAACAACTTCGGCAAAGAAAAGAAAAGCTGAGACTGAACAAAGGCATCAGACCCCACACACCCAAGGCGCCCACATAATTACAGGAAAAGTGAGGAATGTTTGTAGTACAGATGCAGTAACATTGGATCTTTGCTTAATACATCAATCCGCCACTTATTACTTTATGATTAAATAGTATTGAAAAGATGATGATATGGATGAGTAATCAATACTAATCATGCTTTTCAGTTATATAAAGAAATGCAAGTATTTGCTCTATTGTAGCACCAAGTGAAACTAATACAATTAAAACACATTTCATTTTTTAGAAAACAGTGTATTCTGTGATGAAAAGGTAATAATGTGTGAAATATGGAAAGCTTATCATCGGTGCGCTGGATTTAAATTATTCTGCATGTAATTATCCCACCTTGAAATCTTGAGATTTTAATTAAGATGTTAATTTCTAAGTGCTGTTGTACAAAGTTTGTACTCAGGCCTGGGGTATAGAACCATTTCAGTTCTAGGAGAGGGTACAGTTCGTTATATGAGCTTAATCGAACTCCTGTTTCATTCTCTGCATCACAATGCTCTATAGCTGGCCATCTCGGGGTTTGCCAAAGATTCAGCTCAGAGTGTGTTTGAAGAAATGGTGAGTGATCATTTCAGCTTCAATAGAAATGTTCTCATGAGAATCAATGCATGCATGTAGCATTGACATAAGATACTTTTTTTATTAAAAAAATGTCCAGTTCTTCTTGAAATGTATCAGTTTGTAATAAAAAACTAAATGTTTTCTTTTTCTTTGCTAATTTTCTGTTTAGTACCTTTCATGGAACATTGAAAAATATCCTGTACTGTCAACTTTCCTTTATTCCGTTGTTTCCTCCATAAGCTGGCATCAGCAGATTTCCTGGAGGGAGGGGGGTGTTTATGTTTTGTTACCCTCCCTGTTCTATTATAAGCCTGCGGCACAGGCTGCGCCCCCTGCTGTTGGAACGGAAGAACATCCTGGACCTGTGACTGATCTGGGACAGACCCAAGAACCCTCCACAGATACCAGTACTAATGCTGGGGAGGCTAGCCACCCTAAAGAGGAAACTGCAGTGAGTCTCTCAGATTCTACCTCATCCATCCACTTTTTAACCGTTTATCCTGGTCTGACTTGTGGGGACCTGGAGCCTATCGCTGTCATAGTCTTAACAAAATATTTGTAATAGCAGCTTAAATCCTCTTATGTCAACAAGTTAATATTAAGGTAATGTGCATGATTTCCACCCTTCTGCACATTTCACGGCTTAAATCAGATGCTTAATGTAGTTTACACAGTTCTGAACTCCCTGACTTGGCGGGATTAATATTTAATGAACCATTTCCTTTCCTTTGTGTTTGTATAGGACCTGACTGGGGTGGATGTGCAAGAGACATTAATGAACGAAGAAGTCAAGCCGACTGAGGTACTCTGTGACTTATTCCCTCAGTGTAATATCAAAGGGTTATCAGATTCGGTAAATATCATCAATTCAGCACCTGTCCAGATGAAGAATGCAGTGTCACACAGAGGCTAACAGCACATGAACTGATGATGATGTGGAAACATTAATTTAATCTATCTTTACCCCATTAGCTATTAACAAGTTAGTATTACTTTAATCATCCCCCTGGGGAAATTGGATAGTTTTCATGTATTCCATTTTTTTCTCCATTTGACACAGAGACTTATATACGGGGTCAGAGTGCAGGGGTGGGGTTAAGGACCTTGGTCAACTTTCCAGTCACTGGCACAAACCCAGAGAGGCACACACTTTTTTATTACTAATAACATAATCAGGGAGCACCATGGACCACAGAGAATACATTACAAACCTTTCTCTTGGACCTTAACCCCAACCTTTTCTGTATACAGGAACCACCAACATGTGAAGCTGAGGGGGAATTCCCCTCTGAAGCAGCATCCGTAAGTACCGCTTCAGGAGCTCACACACGAAGAAGTTTCCTAAAATGTCTTTGCCTTCTGACCAACAGCATGAATCTGCAAAAGCTAAAGTCAGTAGGATAGAAGTTCAGCCGATTTCACTTTTACCTTAAAATGTAGAATAAGAATCATAACTGGAAGTTCTTAAAATATCACCTGAGTTACATACTGGGCTGAAAAGTAAACTCACCCATTCACCTGACTACATTTTATATTGAACTAGCCCAGCTGACTAGTAACTTTCATAAAATTTGTTAAATTGACTAGCAACATCCATAAAATTCACTAGTAACATTCATAAAATCCGTAAGCTTCATCCCTGGTTATATACATCCAATACTGAAATATTAATTAAATTGAAATATTCATCAAATGTCAAGCAGACAGCGGATCACATTCACAGAAATCGATTCATTTTGGTGTTTTACTAGAGAGGACAGAACAGGCTCCTTTTTTTAATGATCTGATTGTGGTCTACAGTCATTGTTCCACCTTTCAAAGTGTCTGTTGGCATGTGTGAGTAACTGACTGCATGCAGGGCCCAGAAACAGCGGAGAAGGCAGAAGAGCTACCGAGCCCCACTTTTTATCCCCAGCATCGTTCTGAATAAACCCACACGCCAGTCTGAGCCCGATGGCACAGCCGGCAAATCCCTGTCTGAAACCGAGTTCAGCTGTTGTAGATGGCAGCTACAGGGTAGAACCCTGAAGCAGATGGGCTACAGCAGCAGAACAGGAAATGGGCTACAGTGGGCAGGAACTCGCAAAACCTGGACAACGAAAGTTTGGAAAGCATTGCCTGGTCAGATGACTGAATTTCTGCTGTCACATTCAGATGTTTGGGTCAGAATTTGGTACAAACAACATGAAAGCATGGATCCATCCTGCCTTGTATCAACGATTCAGGCTGATGGTGGTGATGTAATGGTGTGGGGGATGTTTTCTTGGCACACTTTGGGCCCCTTAGTACCAAATGAGCATCGTTTAAATGCCACAGCCTACCTGAGTGTTGCTGCTGACCATGTCCATCCCTTTATGACCACAGTGTACCTGAGTGTTGCTGCTGACCATGTCCATCCCTGTATGACCACAGTGTACCCAGCTTCTAATGGCTACTTCCAGC